AGAAGAGATAGTAATCCGCCCCGGAGGAAGATAACACCATCCAGATCCTCAACTTATCTCTGTAATTTTTCATACTTAAAGACCAGGATGCACTAAAAAATTTATCAGCCTTATCAGGAAACAAGACCAAATGGTGGAAAACCAAGAGGGGGAAAAATAAAACCCCACACACATACCAAACAACAGAGTAGAGACATACAGATAAATCCAGATATTGGAATTATCAGAAAAGATGTACTATATGTACAGATGTGAATAATAGACTTCCAAATATGTCTATGTCCTAATTTCCAAACCTATGTTTATGATAACCTATGATCATGTTACCTTACCTGTTTAAAGGGACTCTGTGGATGTGATTAAGTTAAGGTTCTTGAGAAAGGGAGATTATCGTGGATTGTCTGGATGGGCCCAGTGTAATTGCAAGGGTCCGTATAAGAGGAAGTCAGGAGAATCAGTGTCACTAGTAGATGTGATGGCAGAAGAGACTGGAATAATGCATGGAAGCCAAAAAAGGCAGGAAAGTGGATTCTCCCCTCAGTGTCTCCAGGAGGGACCAGCCCGGCCAAGACCTTGATTTTAGCACGGTGAGATTCATGTCGGACTTCTGATCTCCCCAGCTGTAAGATAATAAATCCGTGCTGTTTTAAGCCACTGAGTTTGTGGCAATTTGTTACAGCCATAATAGGAAAATAGTACGTAGCCTAACAGGGGATACAGTTATACAAACATACAATTTCAAAATAAATACTATGGAGGCACAGGGCTGGAGTGCTCAGTGCAATCGGGGATTCACAGAATCAGGTATGATGGTAACCTACATGATCCCATAATCATTGGTCATCCATGAGTATAGGAATCCAAAAACCCAGCTGAATGGCAGATTTTTGGAATAATCAGGAGGCTGAAACAAAACTTCATTGTATCTCTAATTAAGAAGTTTGATTTGATGAACATAGTACTCTGCATTCAATACTTAAAGAACACCTCTTTTTTTTCAGGCTCACATCCATTTTCTCATTTCACCACTTATTAGGCTACAAATTAGGATATAAAGGAAGTCTCATAATATTTGAAAGAATCGATATCACACAGACCGTCATCTCTGACCATATGAAATTGGGTTAGATATCAATTTTGAATGATAAATCAAAAATCCCCATGCATTTGGAAATTGAAAAACACATTCAAAAGCACAATAAAAATAATTACTATGTCAAAGAAAAAAATTTAATGAATATTGAACTTAATAAAAATGTCCAGATGGTAGTGAGCTAGAAAGCTCTAGGAGCCGTTTGTAGGATGATGAAATTAATGGAGCACCTCAGGCATCTGAACATCCTGAGAGGAAATTTAGACAATTGGTGAAGACTTTCAGGTTGAATTGGTAAAAACAAAACTAAGCAAACAACATTAAAAAAACCCCAAAATAATTATGCCAGGAAAAATAAAAAGCTTTGCATGGAAAAAATATCATAGTCTACTACATGGCTCAACTATGAGTTGTGTTAATAGAGTCATAACACTGAATATTGACCTACCAAAATTATTATATAACTATATTGAAAAAGGGTGGGATGGCAGAGATATGGATGGTGGGGTGAGGGGATAAAGATAGTTACATCCTCATCTCCCATAGTGGGAAGACAATATATAATTCCCAAAGTTGAAAATTAAAGAATATTGTCATTATGCTATTTAGAGAAATGGAAGTAAGTATTAAAATAATCAACTAAGAGAGATAGAAGTCGGGGACAGGAAAATGGGGGAGGGGGTGGGTGAGACTTTGCTGTTTTTCATAATAAACTTTGTATAACTGTATGATTCTAGACGGGGGGTTGGCAAATCTTTTCTGTAAAGGACTAGACAGTAAACATTCTAGGCTTTGCAGGCCATATGTTCTCTGTTGCAGATTGGAAAAAGCCTTGTATTCCATCCTATGAAGTGTAAACTCCATGCCAAGGACAATGGAATTCATTGATGGACTTAAAGTGGGGCATTCCCTGATCAGATAGGTTTTGAGAAACTTCACTCAGTGGTGTGGACAATGCAAAGAAAAGATCTGTCATGATAGGTTTAGGAAGACTCAGACTCCTGTCCAGGTGAGAGATTATTTTGTAAAGAAATATATGAATTACCATATTAGGTATCTTTTTGACAGATACACATAGGACTCTGACAAATTACTAAGAGAAATGCCTTTAGTGAGTTATTACCATAGATTTTCTATTGTAGGAAACATACTTTAAATGTATATTAAGAAACAAGTTCACCAAGACCTTAGCACTGTTTTATACACACACACACACACACACACACTCACTATGTTTTGGTACAGAATAAACTGGTACTTAAGTTGCGGGTATAAGGGTTAAAGGCAAGGTGCCAGAGGGCAGGCACATTCTGAAGGCAACGTTTCTAAAGTTCTTTGAAACTCTCAAAATAGCACAATACTTGCCCTTCTAGTTCCAAGCTTGCCTTTCAGAAAGTAGTTAAGAATGAAGAAAAGTAGAAAGAAGGATATTTAAGTTTTCAAAATGATTATTTGCCTTTGATAGCCTAGGCCTGGGAAATATAGAACATCTGTTGTAATAAATAACTTTCAGAGAGCACATTTCAGTTTATAGTGAATGTGCTTTATTTATTTATTTAGGATGTGGACCGTTTTTAATATTTATTTTTATTATTTATTTATTTAGGCTGTGCTGGGTCTTAGCTGCAGCACATGGGATCTCCGTTGCGGCATGTGGGATCTATAGTTGCAACATGCGAATTCTTAGTTGAGGCATGCATGTGGGATCTAGTTCCCCAACCAGGGATTGAACCCAGGACCCCCGCGGAGTCTTACCCACTGGACCACCAGGGAAGTCCCTGAATGTGCTTTAGATTTAGTATCTAACTTGTAATTCTCTAATAAAGTTGTAAATTCTAGGCATGGAATTTGATTTAAAGATATGTAAGCTCAAGACAGGCAATCCTTGACATGTCCACATTGCTATATTTAAAATGGATAACCAACTGAGGACCTACTGTATAGCACAGGGGACTCTGCTCAATAATATGTAATGGCCTAGATGGGAAAAAAATTAGAAAAAGAACAGATACCTGTATATGTGTAACTGAGTCACTTTGCTGTATACCTGCAACTATCACAACATTGTTTATCAACTATACTCCAATATAAAATAAAAAGTTAAAAAAAATAGAGGCAATCCCTGAGATTTCTTTTAAAATTAAGGCTATGATGAGTCAGAACAGCAAACATTTCTATAGTATGTGGCTGGCATTGCTCTATGCCTCTTACATGTATGAACTAAATTAGTTCTCATAACAATCCTATGAGGAGTTTACTATTATTATTCCCACTTTACAAATGAGGAAATTGAAGCAGAGGTTAAATTACTTGGCCCAAAACCCCATGGCTAGTAAGTGGCAGAGTTATGATTTGGATCTACACAATTTGACTGTAGAAACTTGTGTTTTTGATTATTACATGACACTGCCTCTTGCACTGATTTAATAGATTAGTGGATATGCAGATTCAAATTGCTCTGACCTGTAATTTCAATGTAGCATAATGAGCTATTGGGAGATTAATTACAGTGATTAACACAAATGTGAAGGATACAGCAAAGTCAAACTCATGATCACACATAAGTAAAAGGAAAAATGCCAACCGTGAGGCACTGATGTTACCTGTCATTTTCAAGTTTCCTTTCTTTTTTCCTTTCTAAAATGCCCACTAAGACTGCAAGCACCATAGGGGTGGGACCCACCTTTCTTGTCTGTTTTTTCATAATAACCTCTGCATCTAGCATGGTACCTGGTACCTAGTGGGCACTCAAATATTTGACCTACTGCAGATTCAAGGGCCTCAGGGAATGCTCTTTCAAGAGGCCGTTTACTAGCTTTGATTAAGTTAGTTATTTTTGGTCCTTTTTAAGACTACAGAAGACCTTCATAAATTCTCACTGTTAAAGATTTAAAAACATGTAAGTAGACACAATAAAACTTGAAAATTCACTTTCTAATCACCAACACATACTCTTTTCCAGTTGACAACTGTCCTGTTTGGTGTGATCTGAGTTCTCTTTCTATGCATCTACATGCACATATGCCAGTACACGTTTATATAAATATACAAATGTAACCACAAATACACATTTTTCTCCTGTCAGTTTCTCATGTCTCTATAAACCTACTTCATTTCTTTTAACAGTTATCTAGTATTTCGTAGTATGGCCATATTAAACTTTATGTAATTACTCCCTATTCATGGACGTTTACCTGGATTCTTACTAGTATCTATTAAAAACCATGCAGCAATGAACACTGCTGTGCAAATACTTGTAGACATGTAGCCTTACTGGGTAACACGGATCCTTGTTCACCGAAAAGCCAGTTAGCGGGTAGGTACCTTTTAGAACCCACTTAAACAGCGCTTCTTCTTCCCCCCTGCCTTTTTAAGAAGAGGTGGGTAGAGAGCCGGTGAGCGCAATATCAGCGGGGAAGTAAAATTCCTCGCTTAAGGTGTTCGTAAAGTAAACTCCTCCTCTTGCACACGGCTTTTTTTCTCAAGAACAATCTGCATAGGGCGTGCAGAACAAGAGGTCGGACGGTGACTACCGGGAAGACGTAGGATAAACGGGCTTCTGGGAAGAAGCGCCTGGACGGCGACGTCCTAGAGAACCGCGTCTGCTGAGCCCCAACCCCATCAATTTTGCCCTTTTTAGGCTAGACTGAGGGAGCACTTCTCCTAGTATTAAAAATGGCCCGAAGATAGCAGAGCGAAATTGAAGGTATTGATGTGGCGTGAAAAGTGAACTGAACGGTGGCGAGGCCTAAACAGGAACAGGAGGACACCGCGAGGACCAACGCCGGCGCCGCGGCAGCCTCCTCGAGCCACCACGGAGGACTCGCTTTCCCAGCGGCCCCCGCGACCCGCCGGGGCAACGAGCCCGGCCGGCCCTCGCGAGTGGGGGCGGGACTGAAGCCGGAAGTCACGTGCGGTTACAGCCGCCAGGGTGAGGCCGCCGTCGTCGCCAAGGCTGTTTGGGGCTGTGACTGTGGGAGGCACCGGAGCGATGGCGGTGGAGACTCTGTCCCCGGACTGGGAGTTCGACCGCGTTGACGACGGCTCACAGAGTAAGGGAGCGGCAGGCAAGGGTTGCGGGTGGACGCTCCCCGGCCCGCCTCAGCCCCGGCAGCGCTCCTGCGGGAGGGCTCTGCGTCGCTGTCGGCGCGCAGCCGTCCGCTTCGGGACATTTTCTGCGCCTCGGGGTGTGAGAGGGACGCGCTCGCGAACCTAACTTTCCGGGTTGGGATCCCCGGCGATGCTGGGTCAGGTCCGGCCACGGCTCGGCCTTCGGGGCGGTGACTGTCCTGGGGAGCCCGCTGTGGTCCTGGGGAGCCCGCTGTGGCCCGGGGGGCGCGGCGTCCACTTCGTGCAGCCGGGGGCTCGGGCGGGGCGCGCCCGGGGAGGGCCCGCAGCCCGGGGATCGGAGGCTGCCTTGTCTCTGGCCGCCTGGGGCTTTCGCCAGATCTTCAGAGCGTGCAGTGGTAGGTGAGGCTGAGGTCCAGGTTCCTGTTTCGGTTTCCTGTCTTTCTTCGTTTTCCTCCCAAACCAACTTTTGGAAGTTTTGAGTGTTTTTACCTTCGTATTCATATGCTTATCTTCTCTAGAAGATAGCGAAAAAGAACTCATTTCGCGGTAAAAAAATAAACACGTGAATGTCAAGTTTATCTCCTCCCATGCCTTTTATTTACGTTAAGTGGTATTTTTCAAAAGTGATGCCCTGTAGTTTCCAGCGCACCTAAAAAGGTTTCAGAAATTACAGCAAATCTGCTTCCGATTTTACGTAATAAAATTGGATTGTCTCATTTTAACCTAGCAAATTCAGTTCCACGCAGCAAAATTTAGAGGCCAAACTGTTTCAGTGAAACTTTACCTAAGATGAATGCAAATTGGTGATCTGTTTCTGACCTTTGGTGATATGAATCTGCGTAGGTGATATAAGAGAGATTGGAACATACTGCTTGTGAATTTGTTTTTTTAATGTAGTTTTCTCAAAAGGTGAATGTAATTTTTAAAAATTAGGGGTAGGGCTTCCCTGGTGGTGCAGTGGTTAAGAATCTGCCTGCCAATGCAGGGGACATGGGTTCCATCCCTGGTCCGGGAAGATCCCACATGCCGCAGACCAACTAAGCCCGTGCGCCACAACTACTGAGCCTGCGCTCCAGAGCCCGCGAGCCACAACTACTGAAGCCTGCGTGCCACAACTATTGAAGCCCGCGCGCCTGGAGCCTGTGCTCTGTAGCAAGAGAAGCCACTGCAGTGAGAAGCCCACACACCGCAACGAAGAAGAGTAGCCCCCCGCTTGCTGCAACTAGAGAAAGCCTGCGTGCAGCAACAAAGACCCATTGCAGCCAAAAATAATAATAAAATAAATAAATTTATTTTTAAAAATTACGTATAATAATTTTACAAAAGACAGGCACATTAGATGTAATTAGGTTTTATTAGCCTCTCAAAGAAGCATGAGCTTAATTCAGGATGGTTAGCAGTTTTTCACAAAACATTCCATAAGTTATAAGCTCCTATGCAGCATGAAAAAATGACCCTGGTGGTATTGAATCTTTCAACTTGTTTACAGAGAAGATAACTGTATTTACTGTTAAAGTGAACTGCACCTTGTCATGTATGAAGTTTTATGGACAGAGGTTCCCTACTTTAGTATCTGCAAAATATGGGAATGAAAATATGTTTTGGGTTTGAAAAATGGTTCAATCAGAATGATCTGATTCACTCACAAGACTTTTTCCACATGCCAGGAACTGTGGTAGGTATTAGGGATATAAAGATAAAACAAGGAATTAAGTCTGTTGGAAGAGATAAGCATGTAAATAGGTTTTTGCATTTTTTACTCTTGAAGAATCATTATGGAGTTCTTATTTCAAGTCTTTTTATTTTAACTTTTACCAACTTAAAAATTTATCAGCAAGGAACGTTAATGTTATTACAGGTTTTCTCTTGCCTGCTACTTTATGAATTTCCAAACAGACTAAATGAATAATTCATTGGCATGTTTTTCTCGCATTGCCATTAAGAACTCATTTGCTGTTTAAACGCAGCTTTGGTCATTTCCCACATAACTGAGAATTAGACATGTACTTGGGATTTCGAGAATCTTAATGCAGTTTTAAAAATTTAAGCTGTAGGGAAGAGAGGACTTCTCTGTGCCTGGTTTTCATTAATTTTTGGAATATGAATCATATCTAGACTAATTGCTTTCCAGAATTGCCTAGATTAATACTATAATGAGATGGGAACCTTCATGAACTAATTGATCCACCTGATTTGGAGCATTAGTTGCAAAATAGGGGAGAATGTGAAGCTAGGTCTTTATCCTTAATGAGTTAGAACATACCTTATCTTAGAGTTGCTTGGCATTGCTAATTTGAGGAGAGAAAATTTTTACCTTTTTTTAGAAGACAGCGATTGAATAAAGTAATTCACATCAATAAAAGAAACTGAGTTGGAGTTGAATTTGCTGCCTTTGGAATGAGTAATGAATTCTTATGTTTAATAAGGTGGAATATTTACTGTCATTAACTTTGCTGAGTAGGCAAACTTTTATTGTCCAGTTTATTCCAGTGAGTTCCTAGAGTCATCTATTAATGTGTAAATTCTGTAAATATCAGCACAGTATTCTGTACTCACTGTCCTTTAGTGGCTTTTCCAATTCTATTATATAGCTAAATAATTAAAACAAAATATCTTGGTAAATTTGAGGCATTACAGGAATAATATGATGAAGCAGGTCTAAAACCATTTAAAAAACAATATTTAGGTGTATTTTTAGACGTAGTTTACTGTGTAATTAAGCATTACATTTAAAAATTTTGCTTCTATGACAACACAGATTTTTGCACCTAAATCAGGTCATGATTTTTTTTTTTTGCACAAAAAAGTTGTTTATGACTGAAACATAGAATCAGGACATTGAGTTGTCTAAGGCATTATTCACATATTTTAGATTTTGGAGTAAACGGTATAGTAACTTTTTCATAGTATTTTAAAGTTGCAGTTTTAAGATGATATCTCTAAGTGGTAACATCTACTGTTTTTTACAATTATCGTATCTGTTTGGAAAAGATTGAAAGTTCAGTTATTGTTTAACTTTAAAACTTTATTTTCAAGAAGTCCAGACATTCTGAAGTGATACATTAACAATGCTTAGTATCTACTTTGCTGTGACTTTTGAGATTATTTGAAGTAAATGTCTTGTAATTCATTACTTGTACTTCTTACAAACTTTTAAAATTTAAATTTAGAAATTCATGCTGAAGTCCAGCTTAAGAATTATGGGAAATTTCTTGAGGAGTATACCTCTCAATTGAGAAGAATTGAGGACGCACTGGATGATTCAATTGGAGATGTTTGGGATTTCAATCTTGATCCTATAGCATTAAAGGTTTGATTTTGTTTTATTTTTTAATTTATGTGTACTTTTTAAGGACATACTGTATCTTGAAAACAGTTTTCACAATTAGGATATGTATTTTTATTATTTGGAATCTAAAAGAACTAAAATAAACTTGGAGAAAAATGGTTAATTTCCTTTTCTCTAAGCCATGCATGTGTTTTTGTTTTCCTTTTTAAAGAATGACACAAACTCAAAGTCTTCAGTGTCAAAGAATGACACGAACTCCAACTCTTTGAGCTAACTTGTTTTTCATTATCAAGAAAATGAAGAGGATTGGAGTAGCATATTGAAGCTTTACTTGTTTTTTTTATTGAGGTTATTTTACATACAGTGAGAAGCATAGATTTAAAATACTGTTCAGTGAATTTTACCAAGCACCTATTCCCATGTATCTCATATCCCAATCAAGATACTGAATATTTCCATGATTTCCCAAAAGCTCCCTTATGCTATTTAGGGGACCTTAATATGGGAGTGATTTTTTTAAGATATAAAATAAGTCACTCCTGCTGTGTTCCATTTTGAGGTAGTTCTGTTTTATCTTTGAAACTGTTGGCGCTTAAGTTATAGTTAACATTTATTGAGTCCTTATTATGTGCTAGACAACTGTCCTAAGTCGCATGTTGACTTACTTTAATAACAGCTTTCCTGAGATGTAATTCATATATCGTACAATTCTTTGGTTTTTACTATATTCATAGAATTGTGCCACTATCACCAGAGTCAATTTTAGAACATTTTCACCAGCCCAAAAAGAAATCCCATAGCCATTAGCAGTCACTGCCCATCTGGTGTGGTGCTAGTGCTGAGTACAGGGTCGAACACAAGTTTCCATAGAAGAGAGATAGTCTCTCAGTTTGTGTATTTAGAATTTTCATGATTTTTTTCAAATTAAAAAGAAATTTTATTTTCCTTTGTTTCTATAGCTTTTGCCTTATGAACAGTCTTCCCTTTTGGAACTCATAAAGACTGAAAACAAGGTACAGATTCCTAAACCTAAAAATCTGTTTTTAAAATGCTTTAGTTATCTGCTGTAATTTACTTTTTTCCTTTTGTGTTTTTACTCATGAAACTAGGTCTTAAACAAAGTCATCACTGTTTATGCTGCACTTTGTTGTGAAATCAAGAAATTAAAATATGAGGTAATTATTTGTACTCTTAAGACCTTAAAAACATGATTTAAAAGCAAATATGTGCTTATATGTGTACAGTGTGCATAAATATTTAGTGAATGTTGAATGAACTGTATATTTATAATAGTAGTAATAATGAGTACCATTCACTGGGTGTTTACTGTGTACCAAACACCATGCTAACCCCGTTAATGCTAACAACCACCCAGGAGGTACGTGAGGAATAGATGAGGAAACCGAAGCTGAAAGAGTGTCACTCAACCTAACATTTTACTGGTAATAATGGTTTGAGTCTGGGTCTGCATTCCTTCTGTGTTACTTGTCATATATAATGGCTTTCTGGATATAACTGATTTTTTTTTAAAGCTTTGCATTTTTAATATGTTCTGTGTTTCCTCACCCATGAGCCATTAAAACTCTGGTAGAAGATGGTAAACTTCATCTTTTTTTCTCTACCTTTTTGATACTGTGTGGTTGCTTTTTCTCTCCTGAACTAGTGGGAGGATGTGGGAAATGACAGAGTGGTCAGATAAGACAAAGTAAAGGCTAAAGAAATCAAGAAATAAGGTTGAGTATCAGTAATATCTTTGGTACTCTAAAGATAAATTACATTTACCTATATTGCAAGCAGTTTTTTAATTTAAGTGAATTTATGTATGTGATGTAGTCATCTGCTTACTCTTAAATAGGGATAACTAAGAGAGCTTAGGAATTTAAAAACAAAATAGCAACCTTATAAAATTATTTTAATTTTTTTTAAACAGGCTGAAACTAAATTTTATAATGGTCTCTTGTTTTATGGAGAAGGAGGTAAGTTTTAAAATTTCACATTGTAATGTTGTGATGCTTTTTTTTGTGATTGAAATGAACAAAAAGTTAACTGGCAATTCTAGGACTGTCATGATCATGTGAAGTATTAGTGTGAGAAAATTAACATTCAGATTTTTTGTCGGTTTATATTTTTGTTTGGTAAACAGGTAAAAAAAACCTCAGTGATGAAGCAGCAGCAAGTTCTGTATGAAGTTTATTTTGATATTTTTATAAATTACAATGCACTGTAGCTAGATGAGGATTTTCCTTGAATTCATTAAATAGTGAAACAGATGGTTACTTTTAATTGTGTGATTAATGATTGTTTCATTTTTCTCTTCAGTGTAAAAATTCTGTTTTCAATACTATGCAGATTAGAAGATGTCCTAATGAATAAAAATCACACTTTTTCTTTTGGTGTTGATTAAAATAAAAAATTGAAATATTCTTCATGTTGCCTTTTAAAGCTACAGATTCCAGCATGGTGGAAGGCGATTGCCAAATTCAGATGGGGAGATTTATTTCATTCTTACAGGTAAATGGTTTTTTACTTTTTATTGAGCCTTTTCTTTGAAAAGTTTGAGTAAATCACACATAACCAGAAAAGAGTTATGAAACCTTCAAATGCTAAGAATGTGTACTGTGAGGATAAGATATTTAGTTGGCGATGGATTAAATTGATAGTTAAGGAGATTGTAATTCCTGGAAGATTTTCATAGCATTTTTAGTAAGATAAGCTATCAAAATAAGTTTCTTTGTATAGTTTCATTTATGGACAGTTTATCACCATGCCTTTTAAAATAATTTAAATTTTGTACCTGGTAGGAAAGGATACTTTATGTTCGAAAAAGTTGTTAATGGAGATCATTAAGCTGTTATGTGAGCTATGATGAGGTTTATAAGCAGCAGCACATGAGGCTTCTAACCAGATGTTTCAGTTTAGATATGCTTCTCATCACTGCAAAGTTTTAGTTATTCTAGGTCTTTTGGTTTATCAAAAGAATGAAATAACTTCTGTTTCTCTGTTATAAAAGCAATGCTTATATAATATGACAAAGGCAAAAATTGGAGATAAGGGAACAGTACTCATAATCTCACTTACCTTCTGATTGTTGGATATAAGATTTGATATATTTCATTGAATCACGCATGCTACTATATTCAAATCTTTTATATCTTTACTACTTTTTTTGGTCTTCTTACCTAACAGAGCATTTTGTCGAAAGTATCCTCTATGATGGTATGTGTCAGTCACGGTTCAGTCCAGAAAACAAATCACATGAGGTATTTCAAAAGGGGAGATTTAATAGAGCTACCATTTGATCCAGCAATGCCCCTCCTGGGCATATATTCTGAAAGACAAAAACTCTAATTCAAAAAGATACATGCACCCCAGTGATACAGCATTATTTATAATTGCCAAGTTATGAAAGCAACCTAAGTGTCCATCAACAGATGAATGGATAAAGAAGATGTGGTACATATATACAAAAATGGAATATTACTCATCCATAGAAAAGAGTGAAATAATGCTATTTGCAGCAACAGAGCTGGACCTAGAGATTTTCATACTAAGTGAAGTAAGTCAGAGACAGACAAATATTACGTGATATCACTTATATGTGGAACCTAAAAAATAATACAAATGAATTTGTTTACAAAACTGAAACAAACTCACAAACATAGAAAACAAACTTCTGGTTGCTAAAGGTGAAAGGTGGTGGGGAGTGATAAATTAGGAGCTTGGGATTAACAGATACACAATACTATACATAAAATAGGTAAACAGCAAGGATTTACTGTATAGCACAGGGAACTATACTCAATCTTTTGTAATAACCTATAATGGAAGAGAATCTGAAAAATATATATATAATTGAATCACTTTGCTGTACATCTGAAACTAACAGTATTATAAATCAACTATACTTCAATTAAAGAAAGAAAGAGAAAAAAAAAAAGGAGGAGATTTAATATAGAGAATTGGTTCCATAAGAATTGGAGGGCTGAAAGAAAAAACAGTGAGGTAAGCCAGAGGAAGCAGATATCACGTCTACATCTAGGGTAAAAAAGGGAAAAGGTTCGAGTTGCCAGAGTCTAGGAGCTATAGGAGGAGGAGCCCTAGGAAATTAGTATCATACCTCTGAGGAAGCAGTGCTGCCTGGTTGCTGCTGGTAGAGTTTAAAATTGAAGATTGGTTCTGTAGTGCTGAAAGAAGGAGGAGCCTGGGGCAAGCTGCCATTGCTGCGGTGAACTGCTCCTGCCTGGATTATGTTGATAAAAACGGCAAGAAATAGGAAGGATGTCCATTTCCTGCCTTCTAGTCTGCTTTTAATGCCACCTGTTGGCAGAACCTAACAGGAAGCCTGCTGGACAGGAGTCTAAGAAATGTTAATTTACAAGGTTGAAGTGAATGTGTCAGTTTCTCTAGTTTTGTCAAATTTTGCATTTCTTATTTTGAGGATGTTTTAATTGGTGCATACAAGTTTATAATTGTTCATAATTTCCAGTAAATGGAATCTTTTATTGTGTGGTGATCTTCTTAAGCTGTGATAATAATTATGTATGTAATATATAGTTACATATATGGTCATTAGCTATAGTAATGCTAATAAAATCTGTTTGATATTAGTATCAGTGCCCCAGCTCTGTTTTAGTTAGCATTTTTTTTTTAATTCTTTTTATTCTTTCAGCCTTTCAGTGTCATTATGTTTTAGTTGTGTTTCTTTAAAACTGCATCTATCTGGATTTTGCTTTTTTATATAATCTGAAAATTTCTGTGTTTTAATTGGTTAATTCTATTTCTATTTCTGTCTTATATAAATAGTGTATTATGTATCTGGACTTATTTCTGCTTTTTTGTTTTGTGCTTTCTATTTGTCCTGCATTTTCTGTTCTTTCCTCTGCTTTTATTAGACTTTTAGAAGTTTAATAAGAAATGTAAAACTAGAGCTGTTTAAATAAAATTGAAATGTATTATTTTCACTTTCAAAAAATTTAAATTGTGGATCTAACAGCTGCATATGATTCCATTTTTAAACATTCAACAAATGTTTTATGAGCCTAGCATATGTTAGAAACTGTTCTTGATGCTTGGGATACAGCAGTTCACAAAACCAACAGAAATTTCTGCCCTCATAGAGCTTACAGTTTAGAGCAGCCATAAGTTTAATTAGGTTCTAAATATTTTAGGATAGATGTTGAGTTAACTATTTAATGACAAACATATTTCTGGGATAATTAATATTTCACTTGATGTGTGCCAAGCCTGTTCATAGATAAGGTTCAAGGTAATAAACATTTGAAGTTATTTCAGAGTGACTTCTGAAGACCCCTTCCCCTCATTGTCATACTTTCTAAACTGGCAGCTTCTGAGCTTCTTCATTCATTCAGATGTTCACTCATTTATTCATTTAATAGGCAGACATTTATTGAGAAGCAGTTGAGGGTTAGCCACCATACTGGGCAGTGGCCATTCAAAGAAGGAATAAGACAGTCTCTGTCAGTTAGGAGTTATATGAGTAATGAAAACAAGACTTAAAATAGAAGGATGAGTGAAATGCTGTAGGGGCAAAGAGGTAGAAATAACGTTGTGAGGTGAATTAAGAACTGATTGCTTGAAGGATGCTTGAAGTTGTCTTTCTGCAGGTTAACTGGAGATTTTTAGTAGAAAACTATTTTGTTTAGCATTGTTACCATAAAAATTCAGTCAGAAATAGTGACATTTACTCAACTTGTAACATATACTCAACTTGTCATTTCAGGAACTGTCTTGTTTTGTTACGAGGTGCTATGAAGTGGTGATGAATGTAGTCCATCAGTTGGCTGCCCTCTATATCAGTAACAAGTAATGGATTTTAGAAATGTTTTTACATTTTTAATAGAGATGCAGGAAATGTTTTTCTTAAACTAGCTGAATATCTGAAAGTTTTTCATTTGTTCACTCACTTATTCACTCATTCCTTCATTCACTTATTCAGCGTTCTTTGAACACTCATGATGTTTTAAACACTACTTGATGTGTGTAATCCATAGGTTAGTAAGACAGTTTCTGCCATGGTGAATGAGCCCATTATCTGTCTGAACGAGAATGTTGACAGAATAATCTTAAAGAAATCTGATTGTATAGAAAAGGCTAATATAGAATTAGTATATGTACCAAGTTCTCTCTACTTATTTCCTCTTTCCTTTACATTGAAGGGTCCTTGGATTAGAATCATGTGACACTTTTCTTAAACTACAGAATCTTGGGGAGTGGGGCTAGGTAATCTACCTTGAAAAATTTTTGTGAGTAATTCTAATGCTCTTCCAAGTTTGGGGACCACTGCCCTAAATCAAGAAAAAGACCACATTTTCATAGAGCCCTTAGTATTCTTAACCACCACAAAGTAATATCTTGCATTTGATTAAAACTGTATATTTAAAATTTTTCCCATTTACTACTTAATTATAATGTTACAAAACTTTGTTTAGGTATATGACTAGGGATTCTCAATTATGAGAAGAGAGATAACTGAAGCCCAAAGGAATTATTTGCCAAGATTCCATAGCAAGTTAGGTACTGCTTTTTTGGTCACCAGTCCATTCATTGTTCTTCTTACTATACCATGCTGCATCTCAACTCTCTTTATAAAGTGAAAGACTGTGTTAACTGTTTCTCATTCTCATGTTTTTCCAGTCAGTCAGTTATTTATTTTATGTTCTGTGCTCTCACTGAAGTTCTCCTCATGGCAGAAGCGAATGAGAGCACAGCTCCCCCCAACCCCTGCTGTACTTGGTGTGTAATTCAAAGAGACTCCCCGCTACCACACTGCTGCCCTTGAAAGAGGAAATTTGTCTGAATTTTGTGTTTAATTTTTTAAATATTCTATCTTGTGGGATATTTATATATGCTTTGATAAGTATTAATTTATTTACTGTTGAGTAGATTGACTCTCTAGGAAGTAAAATTGAATTATCCTGGGGCTTTTGACTTTGGTATAATCCCATTTGTATGCATTGTTTTTTCAGTAGGAATGAGAGTGCTGGCAATAAATCCAACTGAACAAGGTCTAGTTCCCAAATGCCAGTTTGGGTGGGTTAACAAAGATTCTAGTTGAAAATTGCGAAATTCTGATAGTTTAGAAATAAATAAATACCAGTTTTGTTATTTCTTTAGCTCCATCCCAAGTTAGATCCTTTAGGTTTGAATGGCTAAGGGTTATTCATGGGCTGCCTATTGACATATACCTACCCACTGAGGAGTTGGGTGTAGGCAAGGAGAGCCCAGACTCTGTATGTACAAGTTATCTGCTTGGGAAAGTGGAATACGATAATAATTCTTTGGGTCGTGTAAATTTTAGTGACTAAAGCCTAAATAAAAATAAATACATATTAAAATTCCAAGAGCTTCTGCTGTTATGTGTTTTCCTTAAACATGAACTGTGACAAAAAAGGAGATTTTTTTTTTTTTAACTTGGGTGTTATTTTATTACAGGATTGCACCCAAAATTATAGAGACAACTGGAGTTCATTTTCAGGTAAAAGTAATTTAACTTGACCTGTAAAATTGTAATTTTTAGTATATTTTACTTTGGAGTTTGTATGATTGGGGAGTACAACAATTATTGCAAGGCTCTTAAAGGAGTTATTTTTTTTTGCATTTGTTCTCTTTTATCTGTGAAGTTGATAAGGCATTACTGACCCACTATCAGTGTAACTCTTCCTAGTATTGGCCCAATGCAGACTCTCCAAGTGGTCTCTTCAGAGAATCTACAGTATCACGATCAAGGATGAAATATTGGGTGAAGGGTTTCCCAATTTAAGGCTGATGGTTCCATCTGAGGATTAACAGTTTCATCTGTAGTTTAATTTACCCACTGCTTTAATTTAGTAATTAGCCCAAGTGTGTTTAACTTAAAAAATCCACATGAAGCTTAACTTCTAACTAGTGATTAAATGATAATCATTTAAGGTTTTTTGACAGACTATGTATGAGCACTTGGGAGAGCTGCTAACAGTTCTGCTTACCCTGGATGAAATTATTGATAATCATATCACACTGAAAGACCACTGGACTATGTACAAAAGGTGAGCCAATTACAATGTTTAAAATACTCTTACTTTGTATAGGTAATGTATTAGTAAAAAATAAATAAATATAAATAGTACAGATCCGTTAGGAGACCTGAAGATCTGTATTTAGAAGGATCTCATGTCAGATTTTCTTTGAAGACAGTAACCATTCTTTTAATTTCAGGTAGGCTTTTTGAGAGTATGATATACTTGTACAAAGCATCCTAATTCTTAAAGTGTAGTTGTTAATTTGACTATCTTAGGACTCAGATTCATTTTTTCCTTGTTCTATACGAATGATAGTTGTTTATTCTCCGCTTGGTTTTATTTTGTTTTATACTCCAGAACTTTTAAAAGTCAAGGCATTTTGTTTTGTTCAATCTGTAGGCATTCACTAAATGTCTGTTATCTAGAGAGCACCAGATATCTGAATTTAAGATGATATAAAAAGGTATGATTAGAAAATTAAATATGTTAGGATTGTTTTTGTTCAAATTTTCAAATGTGTAGAGCCAAACAAGTGATACAAATATAAAACTTTGATTTCTGGGAATATTTTTAATACAATAATTTATTAGGCAAATCAAAGGTCTTTCTCCTACTTTTCTACAAGGTTACTGAAATCTGTCCATCACAACCCTTCAAAATTTGGAATTCAGGAAGAAAAACTAAAGCCATTTGAAAAGTTCTTGCTGAAGCTAGAAGGACAGTTACTTGATGGAATGATATTTCAGGTATGAGTGCTGTATCAGGCTATAATAAATGGGCTTATATTAATAGACCCATCTCAGAATTGTAGTGGGTCACTTTTATAGCATATTGTTGTGATGATATTTTTCTTTAAAAGTGCTTAGGCTTAAAACATGGTTAACGTACTAAAATATAGTTATATCAGTATCTAGTAGGAAGTGAAATTAATAGTATACTGGTTGTATTTGTGATAAGCGTTTTTTAAATTATGTAAAAGGATAAAACTGTTCAAGGGTTAGTATCTGAGTAGTTGTGTCAAGCATTTTGTTTGTTGTTAACCTCTAGATTTAGGTTTGTAAGACAGCCTTTTATAAGTCTGTTTTAATTTCCTACTCGGAATATAATTTGCATCTGCACAATCCAGGTAGCTTCTAACCACGTGTGGCTGTTTAAATGTAAATTAATTAAAAAAAATAAAAATTCATTTCTTCTGCTACACTAGCAACATGTCAAATTCTTAATAGCTGCATGTAATCTCATTATCACACTGTGCACCTTAAACTTATATATGTTATATGCCAGTGATATCTCAGTAAAGCTGGGAGAAAAGCCAGCTGTGGCTAACAATCATATCAGACAGCAGCACAGATATAAAACATTTTCATCATCACAGAAAGTTCTGTTGGATGGCACAGCTTTGGGTAGTATCCACCAGAAATTGCATTACAGTACCCTTGAACAACATGGGTTTGAACTGCACAGGTCCACTTATATATGTATATTTTTCAATAGTAAACGCTATAGTATTACACAGTCCACGGTTGGCTGAATGCAAGCGTGCGGAGAAACCGTGGATGCAGAGGGCTAGCTCTAAATTATACGGGGATTAACCCCCACTTGTTCAAGGGTCAACTGTGTGTTCCATTTAAAATCTGATTCAAGGTTACCTTTAATTTATATTTTAGATGATCACAGTTTTTACAGAATGATCACAACTCTTGTTTATACCAACTTAACTGTTAATCTGTTAATTTCAGAAGAATTTTTTTGTTGATTCTTTTTCCAGGAGCCATTTCTACACATAATGTAATAAAGTGTTAGGAAAGTAATTGTAAACAGAAAAAGTCTCCTCTTAAAATTGCAAATTAAAATAATAAAGCATGCTTTCCCATGCTTCATCAGATATACCTTCTATACATCAGCAAGCATCACTTGTGTGTATCTCTTCATGTAGAATTATAGATTTTGGTTCAGTTTTATTACTTTCACATAAGGGGTACTCAAATATGTAAGTACACATACATTTCCAATTCAGAAGGATTTAGATATTAGGTTAAGGTTAAAAACCTGAGCCTCAGTGTTAGTAAAATCAAAATGATGAATGTAGGAGTTTATCACTCTATATTTAAATCTGTTTAAAGCATATTAAGTCATAATAGCTTATGAGAGTGTAAATTTCTCTAAATGTTTCCTGTCTAGGCCTGTATAGAACAGCAGTTTGATTCTCTCAATGGAGGAGTATCTGTGTCAAAAAATAGCACTTTTGCTGAAGAATTTGCACATAGTATTCGCTCAATTTTTGCAAATGTAGAAGCCAAACTTGGTAATGTAACATGCATTTTTTGGTTTTCATTTAAAAGTTTTCATTTCCTTTAAAGCAGAATTTTAAGTATATTCTGTTTTTCTCTCATGTTATTGTTTTATAAGGAGAACCTTCTGAAATTGACCAGAGAGACAAGTATGTAGGAATTTGTGGACTCTTTGTATTGCACTTTCAAATTTTTCGAACGGTTGATAAAAAGTTTTATAAGTCTTTATTGGACATTTGTAAGAAGGTAAGAACTTGGAGCTTCTATTTTTTTCAGTTTGAATAGATGGAAAAGATTTGGGATAAAATTGGGTATTTTAAAATGTATTTTATTCCTGCTTACAAAAATAATAATTTTTGTAATACTTTGTAATAATAATTACAAAAATAATATCATAATATTCATTTTAAAAAATCTAAGCATTCCAGAAATAAGTAACATAGTAAATGAAAATACCCCATAATTCCACATTGTATAAATACATATTAGTGGATGCTTTTCCACATTTTTTTCCTGTACATTAACTTGCTATTACTACTTTTTTCTCTTTCTTTTCCTTCGCTTTCTCTTCTTGCCACCCATTCTCATTATTGAAGTAGGAAAAAATTTAAAACAATTTTTTTCTCTGTCTTTGCTGTTTCCATGATGTGGCACCTGTTTTCAAAATTGAAAATTTAGATGGTTTATATAATCAAGTGATATATGACCATGAGAACCCAGCCATCTTGGATATTTATTTTGTATTTTTTCACTAAAATAGAGTGAAGGTAAAGGTCATGAAGACTCAAGTTTCTGTTTAATTTTTGCATATTTTTGTTCATCTGAAAATCTGTGAGTGTGTGTGTGTGTTGTTTAATATTTAGACAGAATAAAATTAGTGTCATGCTCCACACCAGATATAGGAATGCCTTTACTCTGTGCCACATTAACATAATTTATCTCATATTAATGAGTATCTTTTTATCATTATTTTTCTTGAAATAGGTTGTTTTCCATTGCATGTTGTAGGATTATTAAACAGTTTGTTGCTTAACCTGCATTTAATGATTTTCCTCCTCTTTCATTTCCTGTTTCAGGTACCAGCCATCACTCTGACTGCTAATATTATTTGGTTTCCCGACAATTTTTTGATCCAGAAAATACCAGCAGCTGCCAAACTTCTGGATAGAAAAAGTCTTCAAGCCATTAAAATATACAGAGATACTTTCCTACAGCAGAAAGCTCAGTCACTTACCAAGTAGGTTTTATAAGTACCCATAATGTAAATATTTAGTTTATATTTTCAAATTTTATACTGATTCTAAATATGCAGAAAGCATTTGAATTATAAGATCAGACATAGTTACTCATTACCAGAGAAAACGTTGGGCAATCTCTAGGAGATTTATTTTCTAGGAGTGTTTTTTGTTTTAAATGTTGTAGGCTTAAACTCAATTTAAGATGTAGGCAAATTATACTTTATGGAAATATAGATATGTGTGCATACATTCACATACTTTTTGTCAGGGGCATTAAATATTTTTGTGTGTAAAGTGAAGTCTGCAGTAGATGCCAGTTGATGACATTTAGAACGTTGTGTGTACATGACTCAATGTTGATTTTTGCAGGAGTTGACTTTAATGCACTCCTTTTTAAAATTTTTATGGAAGTAATGTATGCACATATTTAAGAAGTTAAGAAATACTAAAGGTTCAGAGGAAAAAAATGATTGTCCTCTGCCCCATTCCCCCCGTGCCTTCGTCCTGCTTCCTAAAAGAACACTTTTAACTCTTAGTTTCTTCTGATACTTACATCTTTTAGCTTATCTTACTGTGTAAAATTTCAAATATACACAAAATAGAGAAAATAGTATAATGAGCCCCCATGTTCTCATCACATAGCCTTAACAATTAAATTTACTGTACATTGTCACTTGAGTATACTGCTAAAATTTCACGTTGACTGGGATTAAGATTTTAAGTGAAGCGACACAGGACTCTGCCAGTGGCCCTGTACTGGACAGTTTTTAACTGTAACATGGTTAAAGGGTAATAGGGATATTTACCTACTTTCTGTTAATCTTGACTATTGAGGGGAGATTGGGTCACTCCTGTACAGTGGGGCAAAGAGGAATATATCTGGAATATACGAGATCCCCTAAAGCATCTCTTAGTACTCCCAAGTCCTATAATTAAAGTTAGTGGAGAGTGACAAGTCAGTTCAGGCAGGACTACTCATGGCAGAGATTTCAGGGCTCTCCAGTACACTCTGAAACAGAGTTGAGGAGGGATAAAGACATAAGTTTGGATTTAGATTAAAGAGATTAGCTCAGTAGGATGGAGAGACAGGACCAGGCTTGGTAGCAGTAATTTAAAAAAAGATGTGTATGTTTTAGTTATCAGAGACTTCATATTCTTTAACAGTATGATGCAGTTGCTAAAACTGTCAGTTTGTACTTAGATTACATTAATAACTATACCCAAGTTATGGAAGCTAGTAGTTATAATATCTAGGCTAGGGGAATTGGTAGTTCCATTAAATTCTTATTGGTCAGATTATAATGAGTGTTTGGTGGTGCCACATTTTAAGAGGGCCACAAACGGTAGCATCTTCAGATGAACCTGATCAGGATGTTAGATCTGAGAACCATGACCTTTGAAGACTCACTGAAAAGTCTCTATATAGTTTGGCCTTTAAAAGAGAAATCTGAGGAATGATGTATTAGATTTCTTTAAATATTTGAAGGGCATTCAGGTTGAAGAGGGAACAGATTTGATCTCTGTGGCTCCAAGAAGTTGAATTAGAACCAAAAGATGAATGTGACAGATATTAATAATGATTGCCAACATTATCAGGCTTGTAACTATGTAGTAGGCATTATGCTAAAGACTTTAAACACATTGTCTTTTGTAAACCCTGTAACAGTCTTCTCATATGGGAAATAACAAAGTCACAACTAGTATTTACCCTATGCTTTCTATAAGCCAATAACTATTCCAGGAACTTCATGTGTATCATCTTTTTTAATCATCAGAAAATCCTATGAGGTAGGTACTGTTGTCATGTCCATTTTATAGGTGAGAAAATTGAGACACAGAGGGATTGAACTTACCCAAATTGAAACAACTAATATGTGGCAGAGCTGGGAAGTCTAACTCTAGAGCACAAGCTCTTAACACTACCCTATAGTGTTTCTCTATATTTTTATCCCATTTTCAGGTAAGGAAAATGAGGCTTAGAGAAATGAACTTTGCCAGGTCACACAGCTGGGTACGTATCAGAGAAGGCATGCAAACCCACGCCCGTCCTACTCTAGAGCCTTTGCGACAGAGTTGTGTAGGCTGCCCTGAGAGGTAATGTACCCTTTCACTAGAGCTACGCAGGCAGAATAGAGATGACCATCAGTCCAGGGTGCTGGAGGAACTGAGTCTTATTATGTAAAAGATTGAATAAGTTGACTTTCAAAGACACCCCCCCCTCCCCCGTGTGATAACATTTCAATATTTCTAAATTCTTTAATTTCAAAAACATACCTCTCTGCAGTCACTATAGAGCTCCTTTGAGCTGAAGAGGGCAATGTCTTTTTCATTCTCCTCATTAACTGCCAAAGAAACCTAAAATTCACAACACTAAAGTGAAACCCAGGAGAGAGGAGATGGTGTGATCAGCATGAGCTTTGTCTGACATTTTAGAAGAAGTTGAGGAAGTGACTAAGGGCTGTCCCAGTCAGGCTCCAGAGTTCATTATGGAGGAAGAGGAAACAGTGGGGGACAGTTTTCCTGCCTCCACACCATACACTAGACCCCACGTGGCCAAGTGCCCCCAGCCACCTCTTTGACTAGGGTCCAAGGTTTGTAGGTTGCTGCATTTTGCTTTTTGTTCACAACCATTTTGATGCTGGGGATACTGCCCTTGGAGGGTAGAGGTATGAACCTTTGTTTCAAACCCCCAGTTGACGTACAAGTGTTGACACTGTTGAGTGCTTTATATTAGGACAGGAGATTTGTTCTTTCTCCCTAGTGTTACTCCTGTTTGTACTTTGAAATGAAGCTGACAATCTGACAGGACCCTTTTTGGACTCACTTTGTCAATTAACTTGGCTTTTTAAAACTTGAACCAGTTTCATTTTTATATATTTACAGGAGATAAAGATTATCTGGTGTCTGGATGTAGGAATGGTGGGTGGAGTGACAGACCTCTGCTTTATCCCGTGTAGTGTGACCTAAAACTCAGTGATTCTTGACTGCCCTTGACTGTGTATTAGCCTTCTTCTTAATGTTACTGATTGGATTGCCATCAACTTGATTGCTGTTGTAGGCCTCTTCCTTCTGTCCTTGCTTGTGACTTTACTGTTCCCTTCTGTACATTGTATCCCTGCTTGGGTCCTGATCACAGCCTCTTTCTTAAAGTGGAGGCATTGCCCTAAGACTCTGCTCTTACTCTGTGTTCCAGACTTCTAAATCAAATCATCCACAAGTCAAGTAATACATTTTAGTGCCATTTGAGGCAAAGCCAGAAGTGCAGCTATTGGTGTCTTTTGTATAATGGAATCCTGGCTCAGAAGAAATAATTTTTCTCAGATTTGATTGAATTAATTAAAATTAAACTTAATTTTTTTTTTTGCGGTATGCGGGCCTCTCACTGCTGTGGCCCCTCCCGTCACGGAGCACAGGCTCCGGACACGCAGGCTCAGTGGCCATGGCCCATGGGCCCAGCCGCTCTGCGGCATGTGGGATCCTCCCGGACCGGGGCATGAACCCGTGTCCCCTGCATCGGCAGGCGGACTCTCAACCACTGCGCCGCCAGGGAAGCCCAAACTTAATTGTTTTTAAAATAAAAGAAGTATAGCTTAAATAGCTTGTGGGCTAAAAGTTCTCATCTTGAGTAATTTGAAATGCATTGATATAGTGATTTAGTGTTAGTAAGCAGCCTGCATAGTAGAATTATATTATTGATTTAGTTTTTCCACGATGGGAAAGCTTCCTAGATTTGGGCTGAAGTCCTGGCTCGGCTGTGTACTAGTCATATGATGTTGGGCACATTACTTCTCTGTGTGTCAGTTTCCTCTTCTGTAAAATGGAGATCGTAATACTTAACCTCATAAGGTTAATGTGAGGATTTAATGAGTTAATTTGTGTAAAGTGCTTATAACAGTGGCTAGGCATATAGTAAGCATTCAGTAAATGTTAGCTTTTATATTCAGATTCTGACAGCTTCCATTCATCTCTGGTTCAAGCTGTCATCCCCTTTTTCCTGCATTATCACAGGAGCTTCCTAAGTGGTTTTCCTGCTTTTACCATTGTCCCCTTTATAGTTTATTTTCAACATACCAGTCAAAGTGATATTGATCCTCTTCAGAGTTAGAGTAGGTCACTCTGCCCAAATCCTCTAGAGGCTTTCCACTGAAGTCCTTACTGCTCTACCAGGCATTACACAAATCCCCTTTCCACTCTCCACTTTCCTATTCCTCCAACCCCCCGACCCCTGTACCTCTCTGATCTTTTCTGTTCTCATCTCTGCCCTCTGTGCTCCTGTCATACTGACTTCTTTGCTATTACTTGAACATGCCAGACAAACTGCTGTTTTGGGATGATTGCATTTGTTATTTACTTTCCTAAAATTCTCCTCTATATATTTGCATGGATTACTTATTCAACTTCAAATCTTGGCTCAAAATCAGCTTTACAATAGGCCTACTTTGATCACTGTGTTTAAAATTGTACTTACCACCCCAGTGGCTCTTTTCTCTGCTATATTTTTTCCATAGCACATAGCTGACATCTTACGGATTTCAGTTTCTGATTTCTTTATTATACAAGTCTCCTTTCTAGAATGTAAGCTTCGTGGGGGCAGAGATTTTTGTTTATTGTGTTTACTGCCCTTTTTTGTTTTTAGTACTGAGAAACAGTGCCTGGCATGTATAGGCATTCAGTAAATATTTGCTGCTTAAGTAAATTATATTTGTATGTATGATATATGTATATATTGAAAACCAGAAAGATGAAGTGGCTGCTGCAGAGAAATACTCCATCCAGTATGAAGAAATGGAAGTAAATTTTCTTTCCTATGCTGAATAACCTCAATATTTTCCTTTGTTAGAGATGTACAGTCTTACTACGTCTTTGTGAGCTCATGGATGATGAAAATGGAATCTATTTTATCTAAAGAGCAGAGAATGGATAAATTTGCTGAAGACCTCACCAATAGATGTAATGTTTTTATACAGGTAGTTGCATCTTCTAACTTAGAATATTTGCGGGGAGGGGTCATTTCTTTGTTAATCCAGTGTACAGAAGGTGCACTTTGAAAAAACTGTAAAGGGTAGGATGTGTTTTTGTTTTTAAAACTGAAAATTGATTTGGTTACGTATGTTTGGATCTGTTTGACTTTAATTAATTAATTTAGATTTTCTAATATATGCATTTAAATCTCTACACTCCCTCCAAGGCATGACTTTTTTGCTGTATCCCATAAGTTTTTTTTTGTTTTTTTTTATCCCATAAGTTTTGATGTGTTGTATTTTTATTATTCTTTAGTTCAGAATATTAAAAAACATTTATTGTGATTTTTACTTTGCTGTCTTGGTAATTTTGAAATAGAATTCTTAGTTTCTAAATGCATGAGGGTTTCCTAGTTATTTTTTTATTATTGATTTCTAGCAGTACTAAGATACTTCCAGTATTTTGAAGTTTGTTGAGGCCCATTGTGGCCCAGCCTATGGACAGCTTTGGCAAACATTTCATGTATACTTAAAAAGAACGTAATTTGCTTTTTGTTGGTTGTGGTGTTCTATATATATCAAGTAGGGTCATGTTTGTTAATGATTTTGTCTGAATATTCTATCAGTTACTGAGACAGCTGGGTTAGAATCTCCCACTCTTGTGGATTTTTCTATTTATCCTTCGTAGCTTTGTCAGCTTTTGTTTTATATATTTTGAGACGAAGTAAGTGCATAACATTTAGAATTGTTATAGTTTACTGGTGAGTCAAACCTTTTATCATTGTGACATGTCCCTTTTTATCTCTAGTAATGCTTTTTGTCATAGGTCTTTTGTGTGTGATAGTAACATAGCTGTACCAGTTTTCTTTTAATTAAGGTCTATATGGTCCATCTGTTGTCATCCTTTTACTTGCATCCTGTTTGACTTCTTTTTTTAATGTGTGTCTCCTATAAGCAGCCTGTATTTCTCCCCAATAAAACCGTTTTCTGTATATGTCAATACTGATATTTAGATTTAAAATTAGCACCTGATTAGTTGCTTTCTATTTGTCTCACTTGTTCTGTGTCCCTATTCTTTTCCTTTCTTGCTCTCTTTTGAATTATTTTTATTATTTCATTCTTCCTTCTATTGGTTTGTTAATTCAGTATTTTACTCTTTTTTTAGTGGTTAATGTAGAGATACTAAGATGCATTATTGAACATTCAACTCCAATATAAATTAGTAGTTTCACCACTTTCCAGACAGTATAAGGATCTTAAGCCACTTGAATTCTATTTATCCCTCTCTCACCTGTGCAGCTGCTGTGTATTTTGATTCTGTATATATTTTAAATCTTATAAGGCATTGTTGCTGTTGTTTTTAATAGTATTCATTTAGATTTACCCATGTATTTACCCATTCTGTTGTTTTTTATCCTTCCTGCATCTCCTCATCTTTCTACTTGCAGAATACCTGTTAGTATTTCATTTAATTTTGTTTTTGTTGAGAAGTCAGCTGTCAGTTTTGTTGCTTTTTCAATATGTGTATTTGTTTAATTGCTTATAAGATTTACTTTTTGGTTTTTAGCGATATTATTACTTTGATGAACCTATGTGTGGTTTTCTTTGTGTTTGTGCTGCTTGGGATTTGTAGAGCTTCTGGAATTTCTGGAAAATTCTCAGTCATTAACTCTTTAAGTACTATTTCTGTTCTATTCTCTTTCTGTTCTAATTATTTTTTCAGTTACATCTAACCTGCTATTAAACCCATCTGCTGACTTCTTATTTTTTTCTGAGTTCTTAATTTTAATTATTTTACTTTTCAGTTTGTTTCTTTTTTATAGTTTCCAGTTGTTTTCTGAAATAATTTTGTGTTTTATTTCTTCAGCATATTCAACATAACTATTTTGACGCCCATGTCTAATAATTTCATTATCTAGGTCTTTCTATTATCTATTTTTTGTTGTTGTTTGTTTTTGGATATGTCTTCTCTCTTTGTATGCCTTGTTATTTTTAATAACGCATGTTGTATATGGAAAAACTGTAGATATAATTGAGGATCTGGGTATTGTTTTTCTTCCTCCAGAGAGGATTTAATTTTTGCTTCTGATACACAGCTAGTCTAGGACAAGCTGCACCCAGATCACCTCAGCCCAGTCATAGATTGAGATGACTTAAATTTAGATGACTAAATTCTATGATGGCTGTCTTTTCTAGTTCATGCTTACTTTCTAGGGGGTAGTTTTTCAGAACCCAACTCAGAGCCTAGGTGATTTGCCAGGACCCCCTCCCCTCCTTGATGGGCCATGGACTCATATTTTTACCCTCCTTCCCTTGTGGGTTTGGCTTCTGTCTTTACTACCCTCTTTGGGAATGGGCAGATGCCTCTGTGGGAAAGCAGCCGCAAATGCCAGGCTCATGTCTTTGGGTTTCTGTCTTCTCCCAGGTCTTGGCCTTGTATTTTCTTATTTTCTTGATAGCTCTTTGATGCTTTTCAAGAGATTTTTAAAATGTTTTGCCCAGATTTCCTAGTTGTTTTCTGTGGAAAGGTTGGTCCAAATTATTCTGCAGTTAACGGAAACAGACCCCAGACCTCCCCCCTCCCCATTTAGATGTTTAAAATACAGCTTTTGTCAATGTCCTTCACAAATTAATGACCATCAAGGAATGGTGTGGTATTGGCCCATGAGTTCTCTGCCCCCTTTCCCCCACAAAAAAGAAACTCCCTTTTTTTTTTTAACCTGCCTTAGAGTTACACTTTTGCTGTTCCTTGTCTCTGCTTTTTAACTTTTCCCAGTGCTGCGCTAGGGCAGAGTCTGGTGTAATAGTCCTGTAGCTGACAAGGTAAGACTTGTGGCTCTTTCCTGCATGTATGCCCCAAGCTTTGGTCTTATTGTCACCTCTTAGGATGCTACCTTCTCTCTCATTTCTTAGTTCTCTTAATTTTATCACATCTCTTCATCACAGAGCTATTACTGGTTCACAAAAATCCCCTCTCCCCCCATTGGGTATCACTCCTTTAGTGAGCCATTGTTACTGATGGTAGAGCAGGAGAAAAAGGTTGAGAATCACTGGCATATAGCTTCTGCCCTGGCTCATTGGATATATTCACAATAACGTAGTTCATCTCTAAACTGTACATGTATCTTTTTTTGGTCCTTCTTTATAAACCTAAAGAATCTCCATCATTATGTTTCTCTGTGTCCTTTTTGGATCTAAATGAAAATATATTTGAGAGGTAATACCCATTTTCCTGTTTTGTATTCTATACTGTTTCCCTGGGTTTACTAGCACTAAATTTTTTTTTTAAACCTTGCAAGACCTGTGGCTTCCTTCATAAATAGAAGGATAGGAGAGAATCTGTTCTTATTGGGCTGGAAAGAGAGAAAGACTGAATAGCACCAGCATAGCAGGGGACATGGTAGCAGATGGATAGTATGGATTGTCCTGGGTGAAAAAGAAACGGGGATTCGCTTGGAACTGAGAAATACTGTTGGATATCTGTACTGGCCAGAGAGCAGCTCTCTTTCTCCTTCTCATTTTTCAATTCCTACTTCCTTAGAGTCCTCAGCTCTTGTCTTAAGCTGCAGCAGATAGGAGTCTTTATCCTCTTGCCTGTCAGGTAAGATAAGGATGAATAGACATCTTCCTGACATCCAAATCGTTCCTCTGAAAGTCTTGTTTTAATGGAAAGATTCTTTAACTGTGGTTATATGCTGTAATGTCAACCTTACTAAACTTCTGGTAAGTGGTAGGTTACATAACTTTTAAGGGCTGCTTTGAAACTTAACCACCATGTATAACATTGTATAAGAAAGAATATTTCAAAATCTTAAGAGCTGACTTTAAAATGAACTTTAAAAACACTAGTTATTGGCAAGTTGAAGAATTATTATTACATAGAGAATGAAATCTTGAAGAAATGAAACCTTTTCTTGTGATTATAATCAATGTTTTATATTATTTTTTATAGGGCTTTTTATATGCATATAGTATTAGTACCATTATTAAAACCACAATGAATCTCTACATGTCCATGCAAAAGCCAATGACCAAAACATCAGTTAAGGCATTATGCAGGCTTGTTGAACTTCTCAAGGTAGGTTTTAGATTATTTTACCTTGCCATTATAATTGAGAAATGACCCAAGCTTAAAGCAGGATTTTTTCTTTTGGTTAAGATTTGACTTCTTGATTATGAGAATAAAAAAATTATGGAAAAGTGTACTCATCTCTCAGTTGGATAACGGAACTAGCCACTGAAAGAAATTTCTGAGTAGTTTTCTATGAATGGCCAATAAACTTTATTAAAAGTTAACATGTAGTGAAAGAGAAAAGAAGGAAAATGAAAAGGTATTAGCCTAAGTATTGGTAAAGTTTTACTTATGGAAGTTTTAAGCATGTTGCATGAGTTTTAAAAATACATGAGACAGGCTTCCCTGGTGGCGCAGTGGTTGAGAGTCCGCCTGCCGATGCAGGGGACGTGGGTTCGTGCCCCAGTCCAGGAAGATCCCACATGCCGCGGAGCGGCTGGGCCCGTGAGCCATGGCCGCTGAGCCTGCACGTCCGGAGCCTGTGCTTCGCAGCGGGAGAGGCCACAACAGTGAGAGGCCTGCATACTGCAAAAAAAAAAAAAAAAAAAAAATGAGACGTTAATATTATTCTATAGTATTCCAATGCATATGAGGCTAGTCAGCAGAGGCTGTTTATTTTGTAATTTAGAGAAAGTGTTATAATTTTGGGATTTGAATACTTTTGAAAATGTGGTAAAATGCTCTTAGCATACTCTGTATAAATAAAAAAAACTCCTTACAGGCAGGAGAGCCCACTTTTAACCTTTTGTAAAAACTGAAATAAAGATTTGCTAGTAAATTTCTGCTAATAGTGGCTTTAGATTTGCTTAGGAAATAAAGATAGTTTGGAGATTGTGTCTTTAGATTTTTAGCATTTTTTTCTTTAAGGTATTACCAGTTATATTTATTTTTTATGACATACAAATACAGAAGTATATATATGTATAGATGCATATATATCTTATATCTAATATATTAGCATAATTTTAAAAATAATAAACACTTAAAAACCTATCATCCCACTTAGGAAATAGAATGTTACCAATATTTTCAAAGCCCCTGTGTTGTCCCTCCCTGATCGCATCCTATCCTACCTCCTCAGAGGAACCACAGCCCTGAATTTTATCATTCCCTTGTTTCTTTTTAGTTTGCCACATATGAATGAATCTATCAACCATTCATTGTTTAGTTATGTTTTTGAAATTTGTATTAATGTATTCTTCATGTATTCTTTGGCTTGGTTCATTTTACTCAAAATTTTTTATTTGAACTTAACCATGTTGGGATGAATAGCTGTAGTTCATTAATTTTCATTACTGTGTAGCTTTCCTGGGGATGGACTTTTGGGTTTTTTTCCAGTTTTTGCTATTATAAATAATGTTGCCATTTTTGTATATGTCTCTTGGTGTAATTGTGCAGAAGTTTTTCTGAAGTATTGTATATCTGTGAGTGGATTGCTGGGTTCTGTGATATGTACATAATCAGCTTTTCAAGATGATGCCAGATTGTTTTCCAAAGTAGTTCTATCAGTTTACACACCCCCCACAATATATTAGACTTCCCATTGTTCCCTAACTGACCAACATTGGTATCATCGGCCTTTTGTGTGTGTTTGTGTGTGTGTGCACGTGCACATTGGTGTTTATAAATGATTTTATACTTAACATTCATTTCCCTGATTGTTAATGATGGTATCTTGTCTAATACTGTTAACTGTGTTTCTTTTGTGAGGAATATATTCATGTCTTTTGTTCAGTTATCTATTGAAATTTTTGCCTTTTTTAAAAAAGAGTGTTTAATTTGTTTGGTGTCTTTACATATTCTGTGTACTAATCCCTTGTGTGTGGCAGATATTTCCTCATACGTTGGCTTGTCTTTTAATTTTCTTTATAGTGACTTTTGATAAATAGAAATCATTAATTTAATATAGTTGAATTTACCAGTCTTATCCTTTATGGTAGTGCTTTTTGCATCTCATTTACAAATGTCTTACCTAGCTCAAGGTCATAAAGATATGCTATAATTTTACCTAAACGTTTTGAGTTGATTTTCATAAAATCACTTGTGATTCTTTTTAGGCAATAGAACATATGTTCTACAGGAGAAGCCTGGTTGTGGCTGATTCAGTCTCACATATAACACAGCACCTTCAGCATCAGGCTCTTAATTCTATTTCCGTGGCCAAGGTATGAAAGTTCGTATGTATTCAGCATAATTATATCATCTTTCTATTTTGCCCTTCCTGTTGTTTTATTTGTGTTTTCTAGTTAAACCTGTGTACTCCATTTCTTCAAACACAATATTCTTGGTTATAATCTCCGTGGTATTTTATGATTTTACTTAGAGTGATCAGGGTTATCTTTACTCTGAACTTGTAGCATTAACACAGTTCTATTAAAAAATGACATATTATGCATTTTAAAAATATGATGCATCTTCTTTTAAGAAATGATTTTCTTATTACATCAATACGGTAATTTTGAAGCATGCCTAGTAATTTGCTGTCCCTGACAGTGCTCAGCGATAATGTTATGGCAGTAAAGCATCTAACATTATCACAAGAAGCTGAACGGGGAAAGTATTTGTCTAAGTGCTCTTAAATTGAATCATGGAAAAGATAACTGAGAAATTTTTCTTCTGCATCTTTTGTTATTGCCTCAGATTTAAAGCTGATATTTCCTGTTTTCTTTTATCTTTAAGAAAAGAGTAATTTCTGACAAAAAATATAGTGAACAGCGTCTTGATGTGCTCTCTGCTCTAGTTTTGGCTGAAAACACTCTAAATGGACCAAGCACAAAGCAACGACGACTTATTGTTTCTTTGGCACTAAGTGTTGGCACACAAATGGTAAGTGTATTGCTGTTATTTATGGAATAAAAGTGAGATCTGAGGTTTCACACTTCCCTTATTACTGACCTAAGAAACCTGTCTTACAAGTGCAATTTCTCTGCCTTTTTCCCCTCCCTGATAGAAAACATTTAAAGATGAAGAACTCTTTCCACTTCAAGTAGTCATGAAAAAGCTGGATCTTATCAGTGAACTTAGAGAAAGGTAAGTAGGTATATGTAATGATACTCAAAAGATAGGGGTAATGGAAACATCAGGGCTTTTTTTTTTTTTTTAAGGATAGCAAGACAAGGAATATAACTTAGGTAGACCATTAGTTCCTGTTCATAACTTCTTTAGCGTGACTAAAAGTAGACTGTGACAAGCGATCATATTTCTTTAACTTTGCTTCTACAGTAAGGATGTAGCTTTTGGGAGAACTCACATGAGAAAATATGATATAGCCCTTAGAGCATCTGGCAGACCCTGGAACATTATTGTGATTGTTGTGATGTGTATCTGTGATGGACTTAAAATTGCTGCTTTATAACAAGACTTCATCTATTTGTGAGAGACTTAGAGCCATCTCACATAGTCTTCTGTAATTTTATTTGGGGCATGAATTTGAATTACATTGTTGGGTAGCCAATCACTAGTATGAATTAGGTTTTGGAAGGCTTATTTATATAGCTCCTGTGGCTTTATTGTTTTCTTTTTATTAAGCAAGCAGTAAGTTTCTTAATGGGAAAGTGGGTGTTCTGAATTTTGATTCCCAGCCAAATTAAGGTTTCAGCACAATTTGTATTTAATGCTCATATTTGTAACATGATGTTTTTGTTGTTCTGAGAAGCTCAGATTTTTGTAGTTAGTGGCATTTAACTTTCCACCCTTGGTAGAAATACTGAGGCTTCTTTACTCTAAGATACTTAATGATCATTTTGTTGCCTGATAATGTGTGAGATAGTCACTTAGCACAGATTATAGACAGGTTGAGTGCGACTGGTTTTTGTTGTTGTTGTCATTGTTTTGGTCACAGTTTTTTGAAAAGTCTCCGTTTCAGCTTTGAGACAGGTGCATGTGATGCAGGTCTTGTAAGTCTAGTCATATCAAATAATATTGAAAATAAATTTATTTTAAACTCAAAGTTATCTGTATATATTTTTTAATACCTTTATTGGAGTATAATTGCTTTACAATGTTGTGTTAGTTTCTGCTGCACAACAAAGTGAAAGAGCTGTAAGTACACATATATCCCCATATCCCCTCCCTCTTTAGCCTCCCTCCCACTCTCCCTATCCCACCCTATATTGTTTCTTAAGTATGCTTTAAAACTGAAGTGTATTTGCAGAATTTTGACAGTGTCAGGTATTGGAGTGTTTTGTTACTGTTGTTCAATTTGAAAAATATTTATTTTGTGGCTTTTCTATACTAATTTTGGGTTAAATGATGTAAGGAATACAAAAGAGTAAGACAGAGCTTTTACCCTTATGATACATAATATCATTCCTTTTATTATTTTTTTGGGTTACTTCAATTTTGGTACCACTAATTATTACTTTACATTGTAGAGTCCAAACACAATGTGACTGTTGTTTTTTATACTGGCATCGAGCTGTCTTCCCAATTTATTTAGATGATGTATATGAAAATGCTGTTGATGCAGCCAGATTACATGTAAGTAAAGAATAATGTAAAGAATAAACCCATCATTTTTTTAGTCACTGTGTAAACCACTTTAATTAATTTAAAAATAGATCATTTAATAAACTGTTTTAAAACTGCTGATGCTGTTTTTTAACAGTGCTATGCATATTTAATAAAATTTATATAGTCTTAGATAAATTTTATATTACTACTAATGAATTAATATATATTTCACTCTTCTCATATTCCTAATCATTCTCATTGCACTGGGTTTTAGTTTGTGTCAAAATAATATGACTTATTTGTCAGTAAGTTATATGTTGTTCGGATCTTTCCATTTCTTTATGGAAATGAGTGTATTTGAATGATCAAGGTAGGAAAAGGATAAGTTAATGTGCATTTTTTGTATACTTAAAGTATATGCTTCTGAGAATAAAATTCAACTCTTACTTAGGAAAGTAAGATAGTCATGTGTAAAAAAGCCTTCAGATTGAGGTTTTGTCTTTTAAGGTAGGTGATTAACTTTTGTAATATAATTTAGAAATGTAATTTTTCTAAATTCATGTACATTCTACTTTTCGTCTTAGTACATGTTCAGTGCTTTACGTGACTGTGTACCTGCTATGATGCATGCAAGGCATTTAGAGTCCTATGAAGTACTTCTGGATTGCTATGACAAGGAAATCATGGAAATTTTAAATGAGGTAACATATTTTGAGATTGAAAAGCTTAAAACATGTCTAGAATGCAATGTTTAGAAAAACTTTTTGGATTGAAGCAAGTTTTCACAAATTTAAGATTATTATTGTAAATCACAAAGGAACTATCACTATTGTCCTAAATTGGTCTTTAATTCCTAATTTTTAATATAGAAATCCAGGAATTTGGAAAACTTTTTTTTACTTTAGTAAGTAGTATATTTGAATTTAAAGTTCTGTTTGTTAGAAGAATACAAATGGAAAAGTTGGTTTGACTATTGTCTGCAGCTAATGGTCATATAGTTAAGGTAACTTAACTATTAATGTTTTATTGAATTTCATTTGGAAAGCTAATGACTGAAATATTTTATATTTAAAAGTATAAAGCCTATTACTTGTGTAACAGATAATTTGAGTGCAATATAGTACATCCGTCCCTGTTTTAATGAAGTGTGTATTATAAACACTGATAGCTTTAAAATTAAATTTCCAACTAGCAGTATTTTTGTATGGAGGGAGGAATTAAAAATGCGTAAACTTCACAATATAAACCTTATATAGGTTTGATAAAATTGTGAAATTTTTAAATATAATTTCTCATATTAAATACTTGTATTTAGAAAATAAGATACATGTCTGGCCAGTACTTAGAACCCCATGGTACACCAGAAAAAATGATTAATTTCATTGCCTTTAGCTCAATGAGTTTTGTGATTTTTTTTTTTTAATGATTATTACAAGGAAGCTTTAAAAAATTTTTCTCTCTTGCATATTCTCAGGACCTTTCCTCCTTTAGTTGCCAGTTTCTATAAATTTTTTGCTTTATATTATATATTCATGTTCCTTGTAATGAAGCCATCCGACGTTAGCTTTTGATTTCTTTTTCAAGGGTGTTATACTTAAAATACTAATGAATTCATTAGAACTCATCTAACTGCTCCCTGGTCAAAAATAATCATTGATTTCAATAGATAGCAAAATAATTTCACTCTCCCAATAAAATAATATTTTACCATAGAGTATTTAGACTCTTAAACCAGTTTGACACATTTTTTCATCATTGCACAGATATTAAAGCTCTAACAGTGAGAACATAGACACCTAGAAGAATAATACAATTAGAATATTATTTTGAAAAATTAAGATAGCAATTCTTTTGTGAATAGCATTTGCTGGACAAGTTGTGCAAAGAAATAGAGAAGGACCTGCGACTTTCTGTGCATACTCATTTAAAGCTGGATGACAGAAACCCTTTCAAAGTTGGCATGAAAGACCTGGCCCTTTTTTTCTCTCTGAATCCAATTCGGTTTTTCAATCGTTTCATTGACATTCGAGGTGAGTGTTCTGGTTTCCTTCTTAGGGTCATATTCTATATCTGTTTGCCCTGTTAAAGAGCAAATAACAAAAACGAAACCTTAAGAAAATCTTTCTTTGTATTAGTGCATTTATTCTTGAATTCCTTTTTTTTTTTTTTCTTGAATTCCTTTTTGTTTCTTCATTTTTATTTTCCTAGCACCTTATTTTAAAGGAAGAAATTTAATGTTCAAAGACAGGTTGTTTCCTTTTTAGTTTCATTTCTCTTCCTTTCCTGCTGTTCATGAATCAGAAAAGTTTTGATTGGTTTTTTTTTTTTAAGCTTATGTAACTCACTACCTAGACAAGACTTTCTACAATCTAACGACAGTAGCTCTTCACGACTGGGCCACTTACAGTGAAATGAGAAATTTAGCTACTCAGCGTTATGGATTGGTTATGACTGAGGCACATCTTCCTAGTCAGACTTTGGAACAGGTATAGTATAAACTGTTCTTGGTATAGTCTGATTGTAGCATGATAACAGTATTTCTCTAAGAAAAATTCTTTCTTTTTATTTTATATAGTACATGTTTATATTCCAAGAAAAAACCTCATACTTGAGAAGAATAAAAAATTAGATGGTGCTAAATTGCTTTATGAAAGAATTTACCACAGCCTTCCAAATGTTTATACTTTTCCTTTTGTTGAAAATTTGAAATATACATATATTTATATACAGCTTTTCAGAAACGTGTCGGGATAGTGAGGTGACTTCTGCCGAATTTTAAAAAGTTTAATCAAGGTGACAGTTAAGGATTTTAAACCTAAATACAGTATATAAGCTTTAATATCTTAGAAAATTGGTTAAATTTATGTAATTGTATTTGTCTTAAAATGAGGAGTGCAAACAAGTATTTAGGTTTACTAATTCAATAAGCTGATTTACAGTATGGCAGTATCTCATGAGTGCAAAGGTTTGTTTTCAGTTAATGTGCATGTAATTCTTTCTAAGATAATCCAGATAATGTTTACCAAAAAATCTTAATTCAGTTCCAAAAGTTGAAGATCATAATTTTTCATTCATCTTACTGCATATATAGGGACCAATTGCAGGATCAGTTTGTATATCCTTTCATTCATTTATTTATAAATTTAATATTTACTGAAAACATGCTAGACGCTGAACTACATTTAGGGATACAAAAATAAATAAAAACAGTCTCAGCTCATGTGGGAGAAAAAAAATGAGTAAATAAATTTTTAGATTAAAACATGAGAAAATTTATAATAAAAGCTTAATCAAAGGGGTATTGTGATATTACTTTGAGCCCCAATTAGAAAAGCTATGGAACAGTTTGTGTGATACCATTAGGTATTAGAGTAATAACTGAAGAAAGAGGGATTCTTGTTAGGTAACTTGTGGTCTAGTATGATTAAAAGAAGCATAAGGATTTGGAATTAGATTTTTTAAAATCTGCCTTTTCCTAGTTTCCTTGCGGAACTCCCTTAGCTTCATTTTCTTCAGCTGTGGAATTAAGAATAATACCTCATTTTGGCGAATTCCATATAAAGAACCTTGCACAATGCCTGAAAAATAGTATATATTTTATAAATGTATACTGTTTATATATAATACACATATTCTGGCTATTATATATAGAATAATAGCCAGAATCTGGCTGTTATTTTAGAATCTTTTAGAATCTAAAATAGAATTCTAGAATTCTAAAATCTAAAATAGATTCTAAAATCTATTTTTATAATCTGGCCATTAGTTTACTTTGCAAAAAATATAGAAAAGATCCTTGGGAAGACAAATATTCTCAAGAGTGGTGGCAAAATGATTGTGAGTCATGGATCTTTGAAATTTTAAATTTAACCGTTCCTGTCTACACAAAAGGAATAAGATAACAAGCAGTCAGATTTCCCCAAGCAGATAGTCCTAACTGTACATGTCTGAAGGCTCTTTTTAACCTTTGGTTGTACTTTTTGTATAGTTGTTCTTTAAAATAATTTTAAAATATTGGGAGACTTTGTATAAGCAGTAAGTCACTATGTTGATATGTCTGATTACTTTAAACTAATAATAATAGAACTTCTTTGTGGATTGTTTTGTAGGGCCTGGATGTCTTGGAAATTATGAGAAACATTCATATATTTGTGTCTCGATACCTCTATAATCTCAACAATCAAGTGAGTGAGTTTCAGAAAAAAATTTTTTTAATATCTTTATTGGAATATAATTGCTTTACAATGTTGTGTTAGTTTCTGCTATATAGCAAAGTCAACCAGCTATATGTATACATATATCCCCATATCCCTTCCCTCTTTAGCCTCCCTCCCACCCTCCCTATCCCACCCCTCTAGGTTGTCACAAAGCATTGAGGTGATATCCCTGTGCTATGCACCAGCTTCCCACTAGCCATCCATTTTACATTTGGTAGTGTATATATGTCAGTGCTACTCTCTCACTTTGTCCCAGCTTCCCCTTCCCCCCACCCCCATGTCCTCAAGTCCATTCTCTACGTCTGTGTCGTTATTCCTGCCCTGCCACTAGGTTCATCAGTACCATTTTTTTTAGATTCCATATATGTGCGTTGGCATATGGTATTTGTCTTTCTCTTTCTGACTTACTTCACTCTGTATGACAGACTCTAGGTCCATCCACCTCATTACAAATAACCCAGTTTTGTTCTGTTTTACGACTGAATAATAGTCCATTGTTTAAATGTGCCACATCTTCTTTATCTATTCATCTGTCGATGGAGATTTAAGTTGCTTCCATGTCCTGGCTATTGTAAATAGTGCTGCAGTGAGCATTGTGGTACATGACTCTTTTTGAATTATGGTTTTCTCAGGGTATATGCCCAGTACTGGGATTGCTGGGTCATATGGTAGTTCTATTTTTAATTTTTAAAGGAACCTCCATACTGTTCTCCATAGTGGCTCTATCAATTTACATTCCCACCAACAGTGCAGGAGAGTTCCCTCCTTTTTCTCCACACCTTCTCCAGCATTTTTTGTTTGTAGATTTTTTGATGATGGCCATTCTGACCGGTGTGAGGTGATACCTCACTGTGGTTTTGATTAGCATTTCTCTAATGATTAGTGATGTTGAGCATTCTTTCATGTGTGTGTTGGCGATCTGTATGTCTTCTTTAGAGAAATGTCTATTTAGGTCTTCCACCCATTTTTGGATTGGGTTGTGTGTTTTTTTGATATTGAGCTGCATGAGCTGCTTGTATATTTTGGAGATTAATCCTTTGTCAGTTGCTTTGTTTGCAAATATTTTCTCCCATTCTGCGGGTTGTCTTTTTGTCTTGTTTATGGTTTTGTTTGCGGTGCAAAAGCTTTTAAGTTTCATTAGGTCCCATTTGTTTATTTTTGGTTTTGTTTCCATTACTCTAGGAGGTGGGTCAAAAAGGATCTTGCTGTGATTTATGTCATAGAGTGTTTTCCTCTACGAGTTTTATAGTGTCTGGCCTTACATTTAGGTCTTTAATCCATTTTAAGTTTATTTTTGTGTATGGTGTTAGGAAGTGTTCTAATTTCATTCTTCTACATCTAGCTGCACCACTTATTGAAGAGGCTGTCTTTTCTCCATTGTGTATTCTTGCCTCCTTTGTCAAGGATAAGGTGACCATAATGTGCATGCAAGAAAAATTTTTTTAATGTAGAAAGGCTGAGGGGCAAAGAATTGATTCTCAATAGTGCAAGTTAGTAAAATAAAGAAGACAAAAAATAATCGTTTAGAGATCATCTTGTTTATTCCTTTGCTTTGACTGTATTATCATTTTGAATGACTTTTCAATTATCTTTAATAAAATAAAATTGTAAAATTCTTGGGTTAACTGGCCAGTGTTTGCTACTGATTGTGTTTGTTTCATTACAGATTTTTATTGAACGAACAAGCAATAACAAACATTTGAACACTATTAACATTCGGCATATTGCTAATTCAATTCGAACACATGGCACAGGAATCATGAATACAACAGTAAGAACCTTCTGGGAGGGAGGTTGTGTGGGTAATAGACCCCTGTTGAATTTGGTAGTTTGAAAAGTAGTTTTTTTCATCAAATATTCTGGTAAATATACATTATTGCTTGTTTATATTATACCTTAATGTCCATTTTTCTGTTTGGTATAATTAAAATGTCTGTCACTGAAATTGTATTAGATGTCATGGAAGCTTTGTAATTCAAAAGGCACCTTAGGGACTTCCCTGGTGGGCCAGTGGCTAAGACTTCTTCTTCCAATGCAGGCGGTGTCAGTTTGATCCCTGGTCGGGGAGCTAAGATGCCACATGCCTCGCAGCCAAAAAATCCAAAACATAAAACAGAAGCAGTATTGTAACAAATTCAATAAAGACTTTAAAAATGGTCCACATCAAGAAAAATCTTAAAAACAAAAAAAGGCACTTTAGAATGTTTTACCATCTTAAGATCATCATTATAAATAACATTGGAGATTTGAGGACATCAGCATAAGTATATATCTGGGTGGATTGTTTGATATTTTCTGTAAGTTGCTTCTGAAAGCAAATCATTGATAGTTTATTTAACATCAGTCATGCTCTTTTTTTGGGAGGGCGTTTACTAGTTATTTGATATCTATAAAAATAGCAATTTGCTGAAAAAATATCTTGAATCTTCTTAGAAATGGGCATTCAGTCACTTGCAAGAATCATTTGAGCTTATATGCTATGTTTCCTTCAATGGAAAAAGAGAAGTCTTTAAATTTACCTGGTTTTCAGGCCACAGTTTCTCCTTGAGGAAAGAAGAATGCAAATGTTTAAATAGTAAAGTGTTCTTAAGCGTATTTGGGAGTAAGGGAATAGGGAGAAGTTACATGACTGGAAAGTTACATAGGGACCATTTTAGTGTAGTGGGGAAGCCATTGAAGTCTTTGAGCTGATAAGTAATGTGATTGGAGCTCTGTTAGTGGTTATCAATAGAGGAAGGGGCCATAGGTAGTCAGAGTTTCAAATTTAAAACAAGGAGTTATCCATGTAGAGATGTCTGAGCCTTTCAGGATGAATAAACTCTGAACCTTTAAGGATCAAACTCTTCTTTGACCTCATCTGTCAAACACTCATTCATGTAACAGATACAATTATGCTCATATTTTATGTGTCTCAGGCACTGTGCTGGGCACTGGGATAAGAAAAACAGACATTTCCTGCTGTCACAGTAATTGTACTCTAGCAGGAAAAACAGTTGTTAATCAGTTAACCACACTAATGAATGTAAATTCCTGATGTCTGGTGATGATGAGGTGAGCATAGAAGAAATAAGATCAGAGGCTGGCAGAGTTACCCACTCTTAAGAATGGAAAGGATATGGGCTTCCGTGGTGGCGCAGTGCTTAAGAATCTGCCTGCCAGTGCAGGAGACACGGGTTCGAGCCCTGGTCTGGGAAGATCCCACATGCCGCGGAGCAACTAAGCCCGTGCACCACAACTAGTGAAGCCCACGCGCCATAGAGCCCGTGCTCTGCAACAAGAGAAGCCACCACAATGAGAAGCCTGCGCACCACAAAGAAGTGTAGCCCCTGTTCGCCGCAACTAGAGAGAGCCCGTGCAGCAACAAAGACCTAACGCAGCCATGAATGAATAAATAAATAAGTGTATGGAAAAAAAGGAATGGAAAGGGTAAAGAAGAGACTACTTCTAAGACTACTACTGCTGAGGAGATCAAGAAAAAGCAATGTTTAAACCACAAGAAAAGTTCTGAGAAAGCACGCATTTATATAACTGGGTGATGAAGACTGTTAAAAAGGGCATACATGTGCAAAAATAATTAGTAATATTTGAGGGTGGTGGGGATGGAAATTAGTACAAGGCTTTCATCTGTCGGTCAGAATTAATCTTGTAATTTTGACTTTAATCTCAGCTCCAATCCTACTTTTTCAGTGTTTTCTGAGTCTAGGTCAGGACCTTTTAACCCATTCTCAGAACACCTATATTTCTCATTTTAGAAATTATTGCAGTTGAGATATAATAGTTTATTTAACATATACTTGTCTTAAAATGCCTGTCCTGCTAGAATATACACTTCATGATGATGACCATGTCTAGCATGAGAGCAGGTACATTGCCTTGTACATAAGAGGTGCTCAAAATATTTATGGATAAATAATTGAATGTTTACTCTCTTCCTTCAGGAAAGGTCTCTTGCACCATGTTTCTTACTTTAGTATCGTTTTAGACATGTAGATTAGTAATAAGTAATCTTATGAATGGTGGAACATAGAAGCTTCTGAGTGTGGTTTATGACTTGAAAACTAGAGCGTCAAATCTGGTTTATGATTCTCACTATAGCTCTTAGTCTTATTATGAAAGTATTTTCCATTTTTTAAATTTCTTTTTTCCTTTTGTGTCATAAAAATATTTAAGGGGAGCTTTTAGAAAGCTCTGTAAACTTGGGCAAAAAAAACTTTATTTAAATAATTCAGGTCCAACATATTATTTTATTCAGTAATATTGATTTGAAATTAATTTTCATAACGTTCTCCAATTTTTGAAATTTTAATTTTATAGGTTAATTTCACCTACCAGTTTTTGAAAAAGAAGTTCTATATATTTAGCCAATTTATGTATGATGAACATATCAAATCCAGATTGATTAAAGATATTCGGTTTTTCAGGGAAATCAAGGACCAAAATGATCATAAGGTATTTTTACATCTTCTTTTTAAGGTAGTTTGATTCAACTGCTGAGTATTATATAAGCATACCTTATATTACTGTGCTCTGCTTTATTGTGCTTCTCAGATACTGCCTTTCTTACAAATTGGTTTGTGGCAAACCTGTGTTTTCAGATGATGGTTAGCATTTTTTAGTAATAAAGTATTTTTAAATTAAGGCATGTACATTTTTTTTTACACATAATGGTATTGCACACTTAATAGACTGCAGTGCAATGTAAACATAACTTTTATATGCACTGGGAAACCAAAAAATTCATGTTACTTTATTGCGATATTTGCTTCATTGTGGTGGTCTTGAACCAAACCTGCAGTATCTCCAAGGTTTGCCTGTATGGCAAATGTTTATGCTAAAATTCATTATGGGTTTTTTTTTCTCTTGGGGTTTTTTTTCTTTATTATTTTTCACATAACGTCTCCTCGATTTGGCTTCCTATTTTCTATATTTTCCCTTGCAATTTCTTACTCTTTGCATTCACTGTAAACAAAAGTGTAAGGAAAAATTAAATGATCATTGTAAGTCAGGTGTTACCTTTCTTTCTTTTAAAATAATACACAAGCAGAACATACTCATTTTGAAACATTTAGGCAATATAGAGTGCATAAACTAAATATCCTCCTTCATTTCTCTTTCCTTCCAGTTTTATTTTCTGGAGGCAGTTGCTATTAACAGTGTCATGTGATGCCCTCCAGATGTCTGTGATAAACATGTATTTGTGCATTACAAATACTGTTTGTCTTAACAAAAATGGACTAAAACTAAACATACTGTTTTGCAGTGTGCTTATCACATGTCAGTACTTATAGGTCTACCTCATGTTTTTGAAGAGTTAATAGTAAAGATGTATACTGTAACTCCTTTAACCTTCTCCTACTGAGTGGATATTTAGTTTTTTCTGATTTTTCTGTGTTACAAATGGTGCTACACATAACATCTTTGAACATTTATCTGTGTGTTCAAATATTTTTGAAAGATTCCTTGAAGAGGAAAAGGGCAAAGAATATTTAAAATTCTGATACATATTGCCAAGTACTCTAAAAATACTGTACCAACTGACAGTCCCACCTATAATTTATAAGAATGTCATTTTCCCTTCACCCTCAGGGCTAAGTTTTCCCATAGTGAAATGAAGAATTGCAAGTGGTAACAGTACAGAGGCATATAGCCACGTGGATGGAGAACCAACAGGCTTAGATGGATCTTAACGTTTGATGTGCTGCATCCAGAACTGTCTTAAGCATCACCTAGTTCCAGCCCTTTTATACACTAGTTTAGTTCTTTTCAGTGTCAGAGCGGCAAAATATTACTTTCTGGTGAAATAATTATTAAAATTACAGATTACAGTTATCAGTACAAAATTATATTCACTCTCATCTTTATTGGAACAGAAGTTACTAGTGTTTAGAGAAATAAATAATAATACTGTTGTTGGATAAGTATTTCCACTTTTTATTAATATAAAATGAGTAATTTTCTAAATCTTTTAATGGGCTAAGACTTGAAAAATTATAAATCCCTGATACTTCTCAGGCCATGGAAACTTGGTCACACATTTCTGAACAAATGTTTCTAGGAGGAATTGATTTCTTTTATCTATCTGACAGAGTTGTTGGGTCTAGGGAGACAAATAATATTGGTGGAAAACCTAAAGTTGGTGGCATTAATAATTATTCTCCTTATTTAATTTGTATTGACCTTGAATATTGGTAGTTTTTGTGCTATAAATTTTTTGTCATCAGACTTCAGTGACTTTTTTTAAGCACAATGTAAATACAAAATTAGAAAGGACAGTGGTATTGTCATGGTAGGCATTTTATGCTTTAGGGGTCTTTGTTAATAATGGTAGTCTTCAAATTATCTCTCTAGTATCCTTTTGAAAGAGCAGAAAAATTCAATCGAGGCATCAGAAAACTTGGAATAACCCCAGAGGGACAAAGCTACCTTGATCAGTTCAGGCAACTCATCAGCCAAATTGGTAAGTTACTGTAAAAGTGTTGGGAAATAAAGTACAAATCCCAAGAATCTATCTCATATATTAAGTATCTCATACGAATAAACTTCAATATGTGAGTGCCTGAGTTCAGCTTTATTCCACTAATAATTTCCTTTTCTTACCAGAAGTTTTTCAAGTATGATTAGACTGTTGGTGCATAATAATTGAGAGATTGTGGATTAATTTAAATAAATGAAATATTTATAAATATAATATAAATATTTTTGTGGATAAGCTCTTCAGTTAAATTAAAAATATAATAACTAACTCATCTCAAAGGCCATACTCATGGTAAATAGTCAACTGGTAACTATTTATTGGGTACCTACTGTGTTCAAGGCACTGTTTTAGACTTTTAAAAGTTACGCCTAAATGCAAAGGTGTAAAATGTTTATGTGAAAAGTTAACTAATAATTTTTCTATGCTACATCATTTCATATTTATATATAATTTCTTGAGTTGTCCTTCTGCTTACAAGTAGAACTTGTCTTCTGAAATGTGTAATACTGTATTTAAAAACAAGAACTGCATTTTAAAATAATCCTAGATTAAAAAAACTTTATGCTTACTAGAGCTTTTCACATATATTATCTCTATTAATATCCGCACAGTAACCCTTGAGATAGGCACATAGTCATGTTTTTAAAGATGAAAAAAGAGAAACACAAGAGAGATAAGTGGCGTTGCTGGGACTTTTTTGGCTCCAAGTCCAAAGGTGTTTTGTATTCTTCACAGTTGCAGACGCCAAGCAGTTAGTAAATTCTTATTGACTATAATTTGGTAAAATTGTGCCTCCTGAGATTCATTCATTCATTTATCAAACATTTATAAAGGCTCTGTTATACCAGATATTTTTCTAGATGCTGAGAATACAAATAGCCTTTGTTCTAAGGGGCTTTAAGTTTACTAGTGGGAAGGGTGTTATAAGCATTTAGTTAGGTAGTAAAGTCAGTGAGCACTAGCTTAAGTTTTATAAATTAATTGGTTTACATATTAGGCCTTTCTATTTTGTATTAGTACAAGAACTTAGAGAATTTTACCTTAGTAAATTTTTAATTTTAAACAATTTAATAATGAAGTATTTTCAAATAAGTACTTTTTTATTCATAGTGATATTTGATGACATATTAGATTGTAAACGCTTGGAGCAATAGTTTTTAACCCTTTCTGAGAATCTGATGAAAACTCTGGATTGATTTTTGTTTTTCCCAGAACAATGCCCATATGCATGTTCACGTACATTTTTGCATATAGTATACTGGAGTTCAGATGCTCAAAGTCAGAGTCCATGGGCCTCAAATTAAGAGCTGTTTTTCTGGAGCAGTGTTGCTTAAAACTTCACTTAATTCATACACCAGTATGAGTTTTTTCCCCCATGTGAATACTGCCTGTAGTAGTATTTATTTCATGTTTTTATATTTTTTAAAAGTATAATTTTGTACTATGAAATTATCATTAAATCATGAGCTTAATATGCTAGTCATTTTTCCCCAATACACATCAAAATACACATTTTCCCCCAATACACAAAAAATAACGACACCTCTGTTGCCACTAGCATGTATTCCGCAGTTGGCGCATATTATCCTTTTTACTTTGTTCCAGCATTTTATTCTTTATTCTCTTCTTAGGAAATATAAATTCTTTACCTCTGCCTATGAAAAATTGTAATGTGCTTTTGAGTCTCTTCACTCTCTTGAGAAAAGGAGTAAGGAATCTCAGAGCTGGGAGCAAAGTGAGAAGTCCTTTTGTCTAAGTCCTTCTTTGCCTGCTGAAATAATTGACACATTAACATTTATTGAGCATTTATTTACTATGTGCCAAGGCTGTTCTGAGTGCTTTATATGTTCTAATGCATGTAAAACTCACAATGTTATGAAGTAAATGTTATTTCCATTCATTCATTCCACAGGCTTATTGAGGACAACACAATGTTCCTAGGTGCTGGTGATACCTATGACAATAAACAAAGTCTTTGCCCCTTTAGAGCTTAATTTAACAGATGTGGAGACTAAGACACAAAGTTTATAACTTGACCTAGGTTTTACAGCTGTAAAGTACAGAGTCCATATTTGAACCCAACTAGTCTGGCTTCAGAGGTTTGCTCTTAACTGCTACTCCCTATTTGCTTCTCACTAGCACATTTGATCAGTCAGATACCAGTTTGACAATTTGGAGGAAAACAATCACACTAGATACTTGATGTTTCTAAGATGCATAAAGAAACATTTTAACATCATCTCTCATATTGAGATAAGCCTTAAAATAGATTCAGTAATACTACTTGAGGGTTTTAAAAGGTATCAGATGAGATTATGTATGTAAAGTACATATTACTATAATATATGGTTGTGAAATGTTAACAGCTTCTTACCTTTTTGTCTATTCTTTCTCCCAAGTAATTTCATTTCATTTGAGTAGGAAATGTTGGCTCTAGGGATAGAGCAGTGAAGAAAACAAAAGCTGTATCGTGGATCTTGCATTCTAGTGGGATGAGACACAAAGAGATATATAATGTATCAATGATAGGTGCTGAGTAAGCAGATGTAGTGGTGCTGGGCAGTGCTATTTAGTGATATTCAGGGAAAGCTCTAAGGAGGTGACATATGGGCAGGAACCTAAATAACATGAAGGAATAAGCCATGTGCATGCATAGCTAGGAAAAGAGTATACCAGAAAGAAGCGACACTAAATGTAAAATGCCTGAGTCTGCTTGGCACTTTTGGGAAATAGTCAGGGGCTGGAATGGAGTTAGTGAAGACCTGAATGGTAGGGCATGGTATCAGAACAGCAGCAAGGGGCAAGATCATACAAGGCTCTGATGACCATGTTAGGAATTTGGATTTTATTCTGAGATGGAGAGCTATTGTAGAGTTTTCAGAAAAGGAATGAAGTGCTCCAACTTAGTTTTAAAAGAACCACCAGCCGCTATGTGAAGGAAACATTGTGAGGGGTGGGACGCTAAAGGTGGAAGTAGAGAGATCAGGAGGCCATTGCATAGCGCATTTCTAGGCAGGAGATGGTGCTGGTTTGGAATAGGGTGATAGCTGTGAAGCTGGTGAAAACTGGTTGGATTCTGGCTACATTTTGAAGGTAGAGCCAACATAATTTGCCCATTGATTAGATATAAAGTGTGAGAGAAAGGAAGGAGTCAGGGATGACTTCAGCACATTTGGCCTGAGCTACTGGAAGGATAGAATTGTCATTTTCTAAGGTAGAAAATATAATTGGGGGTGAAGATCTTGAGTTTGAGTTGAACTTACTAAATTAAAATTTCTTTTAGACATGTAGGTGTAGGCATTGGATAAAAAAGCCTAGAGGAGTAGCCCAGGTTGGAGATATTAGTTTGGGAGGCATCAAATAAGGATTTCTGAATATCACTTCCATCTGTGTGTGTGTATGAGAGTGAGAGAGAGACACAAACACATACTTAATGTGAGTGAAGAAATTATTGATATAGTAATATATTAAAGTGATTTTTTAAAAATGTCAGCATTTAATGACTACAAGTGAAAGTTACATTTATTTTAAAAATATTTAATATAGATGTATATATGTACCTTTATATTTTAAGTGCACAAATATGTAAGTTTTATTTTTATAGAGCAAAAACTGAAGTGTAAAATACAGCAAAATCTCTTGCTACTTAGGAGTGGAAACCTTGTAATTGCTATAAATAACTGTATTCCTGATTATTAGAACTTAGAGTTATTTGTATAAACATCTGATTTTTTGTGTGTGTGGTTTTTAAGGTAATGCTATGGGCTATGTACGGATGATAAGATCTGGTGGCCTTCATTGTAGCAGCAATGCCATTAGGTATGGATGCAAACATATTTTTGCCTTGTTTATGCCATTTAGAAATGTCATTTAAATATGTCTTTTTTATAAGTAATAATGTAGAGAGGGTTTTTTTCTTTTTTTGTTGATACATTTTGAGATCAAATATGGAAGAAAATCATTAGTTGTACTAGTTAAATTTTTTCTCAAATTTTAAGACTACAGCAGACCGTTGAAAAGCTTTATTTAGTTAACTTATAACTTATAAATAAAGCTTATAGTTAACTTAAGGTTATAGTTAATTTCTTTTATTGGTACAGTTTGTGAATGGTTCTATAGATTACATGATTTTTAAGGATAATTTGATTATTCATATATCTAGAATTCAATTGTGGAACTAAAGTGGTGATATTAATAATATAACTGAAATGCAAAATTCTTTCCAAAGATACAGTTGAAAAATTTAGAGTCTTACAGTACTGCTTTCATATCTGTGTCAGTTGCACATATTTAACTTAATAAATTCCTTCCCAAATTCTTATGTAGATTTGTACCTGATCTTGAAGATATTGTAAATTTTGAAGAACTAGTAAAAGAAGAAGGTCTTGCAGAAGAAACATTAAAAGCAGCTAGGTAATCTAATTTTGGAATAATTTAAATTTGGAGATTTGAAAAGTATATGTTCATTTAAATGTTAAAGACAAGACTAGAGGGTAATATATAAACTTATATGTCAGTGTTTTTACTACGCAAGTAATGGTCTCAGTTTATGAAATATAATTTTTTCAAGACTACAGTATTCTGATGCCTTTCCAACTTCCCTAAAAGGAATCTTCTAGACCATGGGTTTCTAATACATGTGACTGTTGAACACCTGACATGTGGCTAGTCCGAATTGAAATGTGCTAAAGTGTAAAGTTCATAACTGGTTTTGATGATTTAGTGTTTAAAAAAGAATGCCAAATATCTCATTAATAAAATTCATTTCACTTATTTCTTTTTACTCTTTTTAAATATTTCTATTTGCCAACTAGTATTTCTAGAATACTAGTCCTTCCTTTCATGTAATCTATAGCAGCAGTGTCCAGTACAGTAGTCACTACCACATGTAGCTGTTGAATACTGGAAAGAGGGCTAATGGGACTAGGGAACTGAATTAAAATTTTTATTTCATTTAAATTTAAATAGCTAATGACTATCTTATTGGACAGTGCAGATCTACAGACTTGAGTAAATGGTGATTTTGGAAAACAATTTAAAACTTGAGAGAGGCATGCAGAATTGTTAAGAAAGTCTTTAGAAAACTAAGTTATAGTATTAATAATTGTAACACTTATTGAGTCCTGGGCAAAGTGGAGACAATTTGAATATCAAAAAGAATAATGGTAGAAATTGCTTATAATACATTGAATTTAAAAAAGAAACCGTGGGTATAGTGATAATAAGAAAAGTTGGAGAAGCAGAGGGAAAGTTCTTTTTTACAGTGCTAGCCAGCTAGTAAATACAGAAGGGATGAGAAAATTTAGGAAAAAAAACAGTTTTGCAACCATCACTGTAATGCTTGAAATGAGACAAATCATCAGTGGGTTCTCAAACATTTTTGGAGAACAGAGTATTCATTCACTGTGAAAAACTTATCTCAGCAATTGATTATTAATCACAAAGGGAAAAAACATCTTCACAATGCAGAGACTGATGTATTCCACCTTAACCAAGTGATCAAACTTAGCATCACCAGTAACAGGACATGCTGACATTATAGGGCCCCCTGATGTAATGGCAAGTACCTATTTTGTATTCTCACCCAAAATGTTTACTCATCAAGTGAAGGAAAGTTCATGGCAGGTGAAGTCATAGAGTTATGAGGTTATGATAATGAATTATCTAAGTGGACATTAAGTCTTCCAGAATAATGGAGGAGAACTGGAGTAGGTCTCATAGTCCAAGATAAACACATGTAGAGCAGTGGTTAAAACTGTTATAGATGCCTGCTTTCAGGAGAGGGTAGTTGGATATAGTTGGATCATGAGTCTCAAAGGAGAGATTTCTAAGACCGTCTAGTGGTGGGGGAATAATAATTTGAAAGTGGTAATAGCTATACATAAGGGATGTAGGAGAAAAAGCAGTTAATGTTTCTGAAGGTTGAGTGGGAAGCTAAGTTCTTCAAAAGGAGATGGGTTTCAGTTGAGGTAAGGAGGTACAGAAGAAGCGTTAGTGAAGAGATTTAAGATGAAAACGAATTTATTCACAATGAAATGGAATTCTACAGGGCTCATTGTGAGAAGAAGAAATAGAAAATTCTATAAAGTTCCAAGAGGCCCTACATATTCTGTTTTAGGGACTAAGTTAATTAAATCATATTGATTAGGCTCTGTCCATAAAAAAATGAGTTCATTCTGAACCCCAAGGAAGTTTACTTAGAGGTGTCTTATAGTTCACATTTTTGAGTGCTCTCATCTAAACTAATGAGAAGTGGATTTTAAAAGCCACATCTTTTGAGAAAGGAACCAAGTAAATAATTTTTTTGCATTTTAGGCATTTGGATTCCGTCCTCAGCGATCACACACGAAATTCTGCCGAAGGCACAGAGTATTTCAAAATGCTTGTGGATGTTTTTGCTCCAGAATTTCGAAGGCCGAAGAATATACATCTCCGAAATTTCTATATCATTGTTCCACCTCTGGTGAGTATTTTTAGTACCCAAAATGAATTTTTTGAAAAAGTATTAATAAATAGATCCAGTTTTTTTTACAGCAGGAAATGCAAACAGACTATATTGTTGACTTTCTGGTTGTAGATAAAACTAAATGTGGTCTCAGTGAATGCGGCCTAGAATTTTTACTTATTAGCTATGTAGAATGAGACTTATTCGTAGTTCAGATAGATTCTTATTTGTTCATAACAGCCAGAGAAATCCTAGTGTGATTTAAATTACTTGAGCATACACTATTTTATACACACACACACACACACACACACACACACACACACATACACACATACACATATAATCTTTGGGCTGAATTATACCATATAGTCATTTTAAGTGATTAGTGTAGACTGTTAAAATATGAAGTATTTCTTAAAAGCATACTATTTGAGGACAACTTCTGTCTCTTTGGTAGTAAATATGAACATCTAAGCTAAAATTTTAGTGCTTTCTTGTTGTAGTATATGGTATGTTTTGCTCTAATTCTGTAGTTGGCATCGTAAAAATAGCTCAAGTTAACCAAAATCGCAATATAAAAACAATTGTCACAGTGGGGAAAATGGAGTTAAGAGGTTAGAGAGGTATATATAGCAATAAGAGTTATTTTTCTATAAAGGTTTCTATAACAAAGCTCTTTCTTAAAAAATTAGTAAATGGATAGCTCTAAAATCTAAATATCACTGAGCAGACGTAGCTTTTGATTACATCTAACTTTGATCGAGTTATAACTTTTCACATTGCTGCCTGAATTAACACATACGTTCTAACATATTAGAACCATTATTATCCATTGAAAGCAGCTGATGGTCTATGGACAGCTTTTTTCTTCACGCATTTTCCTTTCTACTGTTTTTTTTTATACGTTAATTGTTAATGCTCTATTATAATAATTGTTATGTAGCAAAAATGTCCACAGTTATCTGATAGGCATTATCTTTTCATCTTCAGATATGAATAGAAGTGTCAGATTGGAGGCGAGTCTATCTTAGTTATACTTTGATAATAGTGTAGTTAACTCATGGTGAGTTCTCACCATCTTTCTTTAATTTGAAGTCATGGTAAACAGCAATGGCAAACCGTTGTGGGATTGAGGAAGAGTCTAGTTTTGCAGAGCTGCTGTCAGAATTCAGTTAGTGATGGAGAAAACAAGAGGGATTACAAACACTACAAAGAAGAGAAGTATAGGACACTATTCTTGTGTCCTTGAGTTTATAATCTAATTCCAGAAAGAAGACAAACATAAATGAGATATCTAAAGATTTAAGTAACAGTTGACAAAGATTTTATAAAATGTGATTAATTGCCAAGTAAGTTTCACAGGCAAAAAAAGTGGAACTTGATAATCTTGTTTACAGTGTAGGCTATTATAGTACTTATCACACTGTACCATAATTATTTTTAAACAGGTCTCTCTATATCCCAGTGCTGTGCTATCCTTTTGTAGCCCCTAATGGCTACTTAAATGTAAATTAGTTAAAATCTTATGAAGAAATTCCGTTCAGTTCCTAAGTTTTACCGTACACATTTCAAGTGCACAGTGGCCATATGTGGCTGGTGGCTTACTGTATCGGACAGTGTAGATACACAGCATTTCTGTCATTGCCAGGAGTGCTGCTCTATAGAGTGTGAACTCTTTGATGGTATTCATTTTTTTATTGTAATTATTTAATAATGCCTGGTATTATTATTATTAAGTTTCAGTAAATATTTGTTGAATAAATGCTATGATTAGATAAGGTATTTCAGAGGAGCTAAACTTTTAGGGAAGTGCTTTTTTTGGAGGGAATTTGTTTATCCAAATGACTACTAAGCCTTTTAAACTGAGAATATGGTAAGAACTACTATTGTAGAATGAATTGGGTGGGCAGAAGTAAGGACTGCCATGCTTAAGAGTGCTTAAGCTTTTAAGTAAAGCAGGCCTACTTTTCTGACTACAACTTTGATTTAGAGTATGACTTTAGGCAAGTTACTAAACCACTCAAGTCTCAGTGCCTTCATTTGTTAAATGTGCATAATATTTTAGAATGAGCCATACACAAAAGCGCTGTGCTTGGGTTAAGTGGTGATTGAGGGAGTGCTCATATTTAAAGGACTTGGAAAGAAGAGCTATTAAGAGATACACACAGATTATGACCTCACCAAGAGGCTATTTATATGAGGGAAATGTTTCAAATCAAAAGGACAGGAGCTTAGAAGAGATCCTGTTTATAATTTCTGAAATGTCTGTTTTAGGAACTGAAGATTTTTTAGCACAATTGTTTCTCTAATATGTTGTTATATCTTTTTAGACCCTCAACTTTGTAGAGCATTCCATTAGTTGCAAGGAGAAATTGAATAAAAAAAATAAAATTGGAGCTGCCTTTACTGATGATGGCTTTGCCATGGGTAAGCTTAGTGGTATTGTTTTCTCATGAATTTTATGTTTACCTTACAATGGAATTTTCAGAATGTTTGCTTGAGAATAGAGCTATGTGCTCTTTGTAGATTTGTTTTTCACGAGCAGTGTTTACTGTATTTTTTGGCTGGGTCATCTGATTGACCATTACTTATACTGTTGTTCATGCTCCTTTGGTATTGCTAATCACTTAGAGTGGTTGGACCCAATTATTTAGGCTTTGTTTTTGTTGTGGTTTTATTTACAGTTTGAGCATCTTGTATTTAGTTTCCTGTAGCTTCCTAGTTGTTGTCTATTTAGCAGTGGAAGTTTTTCCCCACCTTTACAGCCATATGTTATCTCCAGGTGATTTTCATAGCCATGTTATTCCTTCTTGATTGGCCTTTTTTTTAGTTCTTTATATGTTTTTAAGGAGGAATTAAGCCATGTTGCTAAACTTATTCATTTGTGCTGTAGAATGTAATTTGAAAGAGGATTAATTCAAAATGGTTAGCTTAATTTTAGGAATTATTGGTGGAGTAGAATATAACTTGTCTACACATTGTAATTTCGTTTTGGTTTTGCTGGTGACTCTAGGTGTGGCTTATATTCTGAAGCTTTTGGATCAGTACCAGGAATTTGACTCACTTCACTGGTTCCAGTCTGTTAGAGAGAAGTACCTGAAGGAGATAAGAGCAGTTGCTAAGCAACAGAATGTGCAGTCAACTAGTCAGGATGAAAAACTACTACAAACCATGAATCTCACTCAGAAGCGACTGGATGTTTATCTACAGGTAGACGAGAGTAACAGTCAGATCTGCTTTGACTTTTTAATATCCATTACTTCTTGATCACTGAAGAAACATAAATCATATTGAAACTCCCATTTTAACAAGTGAGATGAATAGTGGTCATAAGAGTATATTTTTAAATGAATGGTATTTGGAAGCCATTTGACTCATATCTTTAAAAATGGGTGGATTACACAGTTCAGTTTCTGTATTTGCGATTTGCACTCACTAGAGCTTTTTAGAAATAATGAGATATTAAATATAATTTTGATGTTTTACTAAAGTATTTTCAGCTTTTATTTCTAATTTTTTCAATTTACTTAGGAATTTGAATTGCTCTGTTTCTCACTGAGCAGTGCAAGAATTTTCTTCAGAGCTGACAAGACTGCAGCTGAAGAAAACCAAGAAAAGAAAGAGAAAGAAGGTCAGTGAGTGGCTTAAATTTGGAAAGACCAATAAATCTGTCTTTAGTAGTAGACACGAATACCCCATTTTATCTAGTCAGACTTTTCTTTTTGAAAAATAATATAGACCTAGAAATGTCTTTTTAAAGAAGTAAAGCCTAAGGGGATCATTTGTGAAACTGAAAAGAAATTTAACATAGATTATGCATTTCATTCTGAGATAACTCTTGATTCAGTTCATCTCTTAATTAAAAAAATTTACCAAGTTTAGGGTTTTTTCTTTCACCCTTCAACTGTATCAGATAAGAAGGAACAAATTAGAGGAGGAGACTAAATGTTGGCTTAAGTCAGAGCTGCTGATGACTAGACACTGACTGAATGTATGGGACAGGTGATTAAGGAGACATAAAATAGTCAGGGCCATTTTAGTGTCACAGTAATAGTCTCCTGTGCTCCTCCATAGCCATGCCTTGGAGAATTAGAGAGCAGTAGAGCCATAATAGCTGATAGTCATTAAGGAGAGGATTCTGTCCATTATATTCTTTGTGGGTGTAAATCGTTCAGCATTTCATACTTAAGGGACCCTCATGGTACATTTCTCTCAAATTTGAAATTTAGCAACAATTGTCTTCCCTGAAGAATGGATATTTCCTTTTTTCTGTTATGGAAATTATGTAACTTAGGTTTCCTCTTTGGAAGCTTAAAACTAGGTACAGCAACATGACAGGTTTCATGTTTGCTCTTTTTCCTTTTTCTTACTTGTATTTTACAAATCAAGAATAAAAGATACTTCATAAAATGTGATGTTTTTATTAACCTTATTTTGCCAGTTAGATTTTAAAATAAATATGTTTTTCACACTGAATAGAGGTGATTCATTTGGGTAGACCACTTATATCAGTTACCCTATTCCCTGTTGATAATGTTCCATCAGTATTACTTATTAGCATATGCAGGCATTTTTGGAATCTAGACTGAATAATAATCGTGTTCTTGAAGAATGACTGCCGGCTGTTACCTGGAAGATACTAAATATTGATTAAATAAAAAAAATATGTGTTATGTTTGGGTTCATTTAAAAATAATACTTAGCAAAGCCATCTGGAAGAATTTGAGTCAGTATAATCTAAATTGTGAAGAAATTGAGTTATTGCTTACGTTCTGCTCAGGCCTTTCATGATGCCAGAACCTTGTCTCCAGCCTAGGTAACTAGGAATATTCTGCAGGTGGATTGGCCATTTACTTTAAGGCCTAAAGCATTAAGACAAAACAGACATTTCAGTCTCAGTGGAGCTCCTTGCTTTGGACTGCTGTTCTTAAGGAGCTTTCTAGGGTTTTGGGTAATGTATGTCACCCACGTGCCTGATGCTGGGTGGTGGTTGTTTTAGGACTCTATTTTAGCTAAAGTTTGCTCAGAGATGTTGTCAAAGTTGCTGAAAACATTAGTTTTTCTCTGTTAATGAAGTATATATATATATATGGCATTTTTCACAAAAGGCAGAAATTCATTTTATCACAGTCATAATAAAAAACTGCATTTAAAAATAAATTATAAATACAGTTGGAAAGTTATTCATTCTGGACAATTTTATATGTGAATTTGTAACCATGTTTCTATCAATAATAGCACTACAATTTCTTGGCCCAGCTGGGGGAAGGTGCAGTGTGAAACCCACCTCAGATGCAGTTTTGCTCTCTCACAATTCTCTACCACTATTACAAACCAGTCAAAACAATTATATTTGCAATATTTAGCCTAGATTTCTAAAAAATTAAGGTAAATAAACTACATATAATTTGTGATATTAGAGAAACATTTGGTGGATGTAGCATTTTCTTAATTTGAAATTTAGCAATATAGTCCTTAATTTTTTTTTTTAGTCCTTCTTATTTACTTAATTCGCTTTTTAAAATGAACATAAATATGTCCATTATTTTCACTCATGCTTCCAGAAGAGACTAAAACAAGCAACGGAGACCTGTCCGACAGCACTGTGTCTGCAGATCCTGTTGTCAAATGATACTGATGGTATGCGTTGCCCCCATGAAATCATCAGAATTGTATATGAAATGGATGTTAATAAGCTAATAACCAAGTGTTTCCTGGGTCACATCTCTGGGAAATATTTAGATGCTGCAACTCTCTAAGGCAGTGCTCTAAAGTTAAGTCCATTCTTCTTCTGAAGGCTCTACTTTTCAAAGGTTGAGAATGAGATTTTAAAATCAGATTTTTGTCTGGACTTTGGCTAGATGTGCCTGGGAACAGTTATTTGAAATGAAGTTTTAGAAGGGTTAACTTAAATTCCTAAACTGCCACCTCAGACCTCTTGTAATCTACATGAATGTTTATAATTTGTATTTGTATAGGTCTTTGATCCATATTTGTCTCAGTCATTGGAAATTCAGTGCATATACTATGTACAGCCAGTAATGTTTAAACAAAAGGAATTGAGCCTGAAATTCATGAAGCATACATATCAATATTCTTATAAAAGGGATATATGAAGATGGTTTTGATACTAGAGGTGAGGCATAAGTGTTATGTACCCTTTTTGTACAGTGTGAACTGATTCATTGTTAATTTCATGTGGCTCACTAGAGCTGCTGCTGTCTGTGGTGAGATATTTTATAACTAGTTTACATTGCTTTGAGAACATTTAACCTCCAAAAACTGCTTTAAATTTAAGATTTACTTAATACTTAAGGGGGAAGAAAATACAGATAAAGCCATAGAGTCCTGCTTGAAGCTTTACTTTTGGCTGAAGGCATTATGTATGATAGCAGAGAAAATTGAATGAATTCTTATTTCTACATCCAAACTCAGGTTTCTTCTACATTAGGTTGAACTGAAGTCTTGATGATGGTTTGGGCAGACTTTTTCTTTAAACCAAGTATAATCTAAGAAATCAGATTAAGCACTGTGCAGGCTTTTAAAAAATTACCACTGTGAGAATAAAGTTCTAATAAACTAAACCACTTACTGATTTAAAAGGTACAGAAAGATTTTGAGTAAATTTAGTTCCTGGCAAGCTGTTAGCTTTATTTTTGTAAAGATTATATCAGTTAAATGGTTAATCATGGCCTATAATCTTTTAATATAATACAGTGATACCTTTACAGTGAAAACAAAAAAGTTTAAAACTTTATGTGTAATACTAACATCATTTTAGGAAATACTTGATTTTTCCATTGCACTTGCCTATTAAGCATTTCTTTGGGTAAATCCTGCAAGTAATTCTAACATTGTTGTTTGATTTCCAGCTTTTGGAACGGGTGTACAATGCCCTGTCTGTATTCATTGATCACGGTCAGGGTAACTTTCCCAGCTCAAGATAACACTTTCACTGTTAAAATTCAGAAGAAACAGAATAGGTAGGAAGTGTTTTTTGTCTATTATGTAAACATGATTTACAGAGTTATGTACAATGGATGGATTAAAGGCATTTAATATTTGTAATATGTACTAACTGTAGAAATGGCCCTAAAGCATGCTGCATAATTAATAATTTATATTTTCATTATTGTAAATGTTTATATTAATGATCTTGCATTTGATTGTATCAAATTGGTCACCATTTCATAGCAACAGTATTGTTTTTTCTGTTTTTCTTCTCTAACTTCCCTAAAATCATCTCCTTTAATAGAGATAGAAATTCTAAATAGAAGAGAATCAGATGTCTCTGTCATTATCCCCACACATGTCAGTTATTTTATCAATACTAGATAGAGTTCACATGCTGACTGCATGGATACCTACAATTGAGAAAAATGTGACAGATTATTATTTTGCCTTTAGTTCAAAATAATGTCACTGCAGTCTGGATGAGGTATAATAAGTTTACTTATTTGAAATAAAATCTCTGAAAAGATTGAGCATATTTAAATGCTGTTAAAAGTGCAGAGCAACAGGGCTTGAGTGTTTTACACCTAAGTTGATGTACACATTTAGATGACAGTTTTCCTTGCTGATGTATTGTTAATATTCTCATTTTTTTCAGACATACTGCAGTTTAAAAATCAGTGTGAGCATTTGTTGTAAACTCACAGAAAACTTAATGCTCAAATTCTCAGGAATTAAGGACTAACCATAACATTGTCAGTTCTAATTAAATTTTATAAAAGATGGCAAGTTTGTTATCTCCGTTACGTGGGGCTTTCCTCTTCCCCAGTTCTAAGAGAATACAATATGCATTGATATAATAGAACATTAATAAATATAATTTCAAACCTCTGGATGTTTATGTTCAAAATTGAATGTCTTAAACCCAGTAGTTCTTATATTGATCTTTTTGGAGTTCCTTTTATCTAATAGTGTGTGGAATCTCTTTAAAAAAATACTTGCGTGCACATAGGCAAAATTTCAAGTATAAAACTGGTACTGGCTCCTCTTTGTGTATCCCAGGTGGACTTTTGTTTTCTTCCCTTTTTATATTCTTAATCTTTCTATTGCTTGCTATTTTCAAATAAAAGAACCCACATGAATGTTTAATTTTAAATCTTAATCCTGGGAAGGGATCATTAGTTTGCAGTGCTGTAGTGCAATTTGCAGTCATGACTTGAACTGAAACAATCGTAATAAAGGAAAGCCTTTTAAATACTGTGCTGGAGAAAAATGTTCTTGCTCAGAAAGTCTGATTGCTGCTCCTTCTGAGGAGAAAAGTTTGTAAGGTTGTGGGAAAGATGAGACAATACCATCACATACATTGTCACGTTACTCTTTTATGTTGGATTGGCCAAACGTAAAAGGTAGACTTTAACCAATTTTAATAATTTTAGTTCTTCCAGCTTAAGGTGCAGAAGTTTCAGACTGATGGTATACCTTTTCTTAAGAGAGATGTAATGCTGCAGTTTTTTGTTTTTAGATGTTAGGAACAATTTAACAGGTTGTCAAAGACTTCAGTTTTAAAAAAGGAATCCAGAATAAGTGGGTCTATAGAGATTACGTGAAGTCATAGGACTATGCAGTGAACTCAGAGATGGTGACAGCAAAAGGAGAGTTTGGTTTATACAAGAAGTTCTTATATACTGTATGAAAGGTCGATTTGGACAAGTATATGGATATTTCCCTCTATTGTAATAGTTTGGTTCTTCTTTACCACCTAGTTTACCAGATAGCGCCGGTTGTTCCTATGAGTGGAGACATACTCAGGAAAGTAGATGAAATTTATCTCCCAATCAGTGCAGATCTGATGTCGTAATTCTGGGACCACCTTTAAGGACTGTACATTCTGTAGTGCAGGTAAGATCTGTGTGTATTGACACATTCTTTGGTAATGCCCTCATTGTTATTAATGTGAGGGAAGAAAAGTTAGCACTTCTGTACCCAGAAGCACCAACTATATAAAGTTAGTATTACAGTAACCATTTCAGAATGTGTACAAAAGGTAATAAGGCATTAAAGATGCACTTTTAAGTTGATGTAATTACCGAATATCAGAATAATCTTCAAAGATTAATGTATTGAGAGAAGCATTTGGAGATTGCTTTGTCTCTGGTTTTCTCTGTGTGCTAGTAATATAGTACATAGTGGTTAGAAGTGTAGATTTTGGAGCCAGACTGTGATTTGAATCCTGATTTGCTGCTTACAAGGTTACTTAACCTTTCTGTGCTTCATTTCCTCAGGCATAAAATGGTGTAATAATATAGCTCATAGATTGAGGATTTAATTTGTATAAAGCACTTTATTAGGAAACTACTATAAATATTAGCTATTATTATGATTGCTCTTACAAGCAGAAATACACTTGGCATATAATTATTAGCTGTTGAAAAGTTTGAAGATAAACTGTATTTGAATTGGTCTCATAAAAACTATTTCTTTTTAAATGGCTCAGATAAGTGTTGACAATGTAAGGCAGGTCTTGCTCTTCCCTAACGGTAGTTTTGACAGGTGGCTAAACAACCAAAGGCAATGCTGGGAAATGAAAATTGGTGAGGCTAGCTTATTTATCCCAGGGATGCAAGGATTCTTCAATATACGCAAATCAGTCAATGTGATACACCATATTAACAAACTGAAGGAATAAAAACCATATGATCATCTCAATAGATGCAGAAAAAGCTTTTGACAAAATTCAATACCCATTTATGATAAAAACTCTCCAGAAAATGGGCAAAGAGTGAACCTAAACATAATAAAGGCCTTATATGACAAACCCACAGCAAGCATCATACTCAGTGGTGAAAAACTGGAAGCATGTCCACTAAGATCAGGAACAAGACAAGGATGTCCACTCTCACCATTCTTATTCAACATAGGTTTGGAAGTCCCCTAGCCACAGCAATCAGAGAAGAAAAAAATAAAAGGAATGCAAATTGGAAAAGAAGAACTGTCACTGTTTGCAGATGACATGATACCATACATAGACAATCTTAAAGATGCCACCAGAAAACTACTAGAACTAATCAATGAATTTGGTAAAGTTGCAGGATACAAAATTAATGCACAGAAATCTGGCATTCCTATACACCAACAACGAAAAATCAGAAGGAGAAATTAAGGAAACACTCCCATTTACCACTGCAACAAAAAGAATAAAATACCTAGGAATAAACCTGCCTAAGGAGGCAAAAGACTTGTACTCAGAAAGCTATAAAACGCTGATGAAAGAAATCAAAGGTGACATAAACAGATGGAGAAATATACCATGTTCTTGGATTGGAAGAATCAATATTGTGAAAATGACTATACTACCCAAAGCAATCTACAGATTCAGTGCAATCCCTATCAAACTACCAATGGCATTCTTCACAGAATTAGAACAAAAAAATTTCCAATTCATATGGAAACACGAAAGACACCCCAAATAGCCAGAGCAATCTTGTGAAAGAAAAACGGAGTTGGAGGAATCAGGCTCCCTGACTTCAAACTATACCACAAAGCTACAGTAATCAAGACATCATGGTACTGGCACAAAAACAGAAATATAGATCAGTGGTACAGGATAGAAAGCCCAGAGATAAACCCACACACGTATGGGCACCTAGTTTACAACAAAGGAGGCAAGAACATACAATGGAGAAAAAACTGCCTCTTTAGTAAGTGGTGCTGGGAAAACTGGACAGCTACATGTAAAAGAATGAAATTAGAACATTCCCTAACACCATACACAAAAATAAATTCCAAATGGATTAAAGACTTAAATATAAGACCAGACACTATAAAACTCTTAATTAGAGGAAAGCATAGGAAGAACACTCTTTGACATAAATTGCAGCGAGATCTTTTTTGATCCACCTCCTAGAGTAATGGAAATAAAAACAAAAATAAACAAATGGGACTTAGTTAAACTTAAAATCTTTTGTACAGCAAAAGAAACCATAAACAAGACAAAAACACAACCCTCAGAATGGGAGGAAATGTTTGCAAATGAAACAATAGACAAAGGATTAATCTCCAAAATATACAAACAGCTCATGGAGCTCAATATCAAAAAAACAAAAAATCCAGTTAAAAAAATGGGCAGAAGACCTAAATAGACATTTCACCAAGGAAGACACACAGATGGCCAAGAGGCACATGAAAAGATGCTCAGCATCACTTATTACTAGTGAAATGCAAATCAAAACTACCATGAGGTATTACCTCATGTCGGTCGGAATGGCCGTTATCAAAAAATCTAGAAACAATAAATGCTGGAGAGGGTGTGGTGAAAAGGGAACCCTCCTGCACTGTTGGTGGGAATGTAAATTGATACAGCCACTATGGAAAACAGTCTGGAGGTTCCTTAAAAAAACTAGAAATAGAACTACCATATGACCCAGCAATCCCACTACTGGGCGTACACCCTGAGAAAACCATAACTGAAAAAGAGTCATGTACCACAATGTTCGTGCAGCACTATTTACAATAGCCAGGACATGGAAACAACCTAAATGTCCACCAACAGATGAATGGATAAAGAAGATGTGGCACATACATACAATGGAATATTACTCAGCCATAAAAAGAAACGAAATTGAGTTATTTGTAGTGAGGTGGATGGACCTAGAGTCTATACAGAGTGAAGTCAGTCAGAAAGAGAAAAACAAATACCGTATGCTAACACATATATATGGAATCTAAAAAGAAGGTTCTGATGAATCTAGGGGCAGGACAGGAATAAAGAGGTAGACGTAGAGAATGGACTTGAGGACATGGGGAGTGGGAAGGGGAAGCTGGGGCGAAGTGAGAGGGTAGCACTGACATATATACACTACCAAATGTAAAATGAATGGCTAGCAGGAAGCTGGTGCATAGCAGAGGGAGATCAGCTCCGTGCTTTGTGATGACCTAGAGGGGTGGGAGGGAGGCTCGAGGGAGGAGATATGGGGACGTGTGTGCATACGGCTGATTCGCTTTGTTGTGCAAAGAAACTAACAGTATTGTGAAGCAATTATACTCCAATAAAGATCTATTAAAAATAAAATGCATGCTTAAGTCTTCAAAAAAAAAATCTCATTTTCCACCCTCCCACCTTTCATTTACATGGCACTTATTTTCAGAGGGCCTTAATGTGCATTAACACACATTTCAGTTAAGTTGAAAGTCACCCACTCTTTCTAAACTTAAAAATTTTATTAAAAAAATGATGCATGTACAAGAGTATATAATATGTATGTACTGTTTAGTGAATGAAAATAGAATGCTTGTGTAGCCACCAGGTAGGTTAAGAGCTTATTGCTACCACCTTAGGTGCTCCCATCATTTCTCCTTAGGTCTCAGCTCCCCTTTCTACTGCAGAGGAAACCACAGTGCACTAGGCTTTTCTTGGGGGTTACAACCATCTATATTTTTTAAAACAATATGATGGTGTTTCGCATGTTTTTGTAAAGTTAATATAAATGTATTCTGACTTCTTTAATTCATTGTCATTTTTTAAATTCATCAGTGTTGATGCATATAGCCATACAGTTTATTTAGCTTTATTTCCCTCATATTGTGTTACATGAATACACAGGTATTTAGTCTGTAGGTAAGATGTGGGTTATTTCCAAATGTGGGATACTATGAATAGTGCTGCTGTAATCGTCATTGTACATGTCTCTGGGTACGTGTCTTGAGTTTCTGCAGTGTGTGTCACAAGTGAATCTCCTAGGTGGTAGGGCCAGGTGTACCTGCAAGGTCGTTGGAGAGAATGCAAAACTGTTCTCCCATCCCAACAGTAGGTGAGGTTATTCCTCATTGTTCCATCCCTACCAGCAGCTTAATTTCTGCAGTCTGTAGTCAGTATCTCTGTGGTTTTAATTTGCATTTCCTTGATTTTTATATGATTGAACATATTTCTGTTTAAGAGCTTTTTTTTATTCTGTAAAATGCCTTCATGACTTCTGTTTTTCTTTCAATTTATCTTTTTCTTACTAATTGTAGGAATATTTTGTATATTCTGGATACTAATTTTTGTTGGTCATACGTGCTTGCTGAATATGCTCAGTTAATTTTGTGTTTTCATTCTTTGTTTTTTTGTGAAGTTAGTTTTAATGTATTGGATTTCAGTCTTTTGGTTTTTCATGATTTGCAGGCTTTGTGGCTTAGTTAAGCCACAGTTTTGGTTTTTTTTGGTAATACAGTCGATTTACAATATTGTGCTAGTTTCAGGTGTACAGCAAAGTGATTCATTTATATATATCGATTTTTTTTTCGAATTATTTTCCATTATAGGTTATTACAAGGTATTGAATATAGTTCCCTGTGCTATACAGTAAATCCTTGCTGCTTATCTATTTTACATATAGTAGTTATATATATACTAGTATTTGTTATTCCCATATTCCTAATTTGTCTACCCCACCCGCCTTCCCCTTTGGTAAAGTTTGTTTTCTTGTCTTAGTCTTTTTCTGTTTATAGATTTATTTATTTTTTAGATTCCACATATAAGTGATACCATATGATATTTGTCTTTCTCTGACTGACTTCACTAAGTATAATATCGTCTGGGTCCATCCATGTTGCTGCAAATGCCAATATTTCATTCTTTTTTTATGGCCGAATAATATTCCATTGTGTGTGTGTGTGTGTGTGTGTGTGTGTGTGTATTTATATATATGCACGCCACATCTTTTTAAGCCAGTTGTCTGTTGATGGCACCTGGGTTGTTTCCATGTCTTGGCTATTGAAAATAGTGCTGGCTGCATGTATCTTCTAAAATTAGTTTCCATCTTTTCCAGATATATACCCAGGAGTGGGATTGCTGGATCATATGGTAGCTCTGTTTGTTTAGTCTTTTTGTTTTCCATAGGCCACACATTATTAAAATATTTTTAATTAAAAAAATTGATTGTAGTTTCTAACAGTGTTGTTCTCCTCCCATCCTGAACAATTCTAAGCAAGAATTCAGGGGACTGTGGCTCTTGAAGCCTGTCAGAACTTACTGATCTACTATGATTACGATATAGAAATTTATAAGACATTAGTTAACACCGAACTGATGATTTTATGGTGTATAATTTCATACTGTTTTGACTAGCTCACTGTGTCTCTGACGGTGCACACATTATAGAAGTGGGTTCCTCAGTTAAACCCTTTAACCTAATTTTGAGTTGCAAAAGTCATTAATCCACCATTTTAAGAGCAGCACCTTTTAAAAACTTGGCATTGAGATCACGTTATTCCACTCATGTTGCATAGTACATCCCCCCTCTGCTGTGACTGCATTATGATGTCCTGGTTTTCTTTTGGGAATTAACTGTTAAAGGTACAGAACCAACTTTAGTTTTTTTTCAGGGATGTTCTAGAAAATAACCACAAAAAGCAAAAGAAACAAAGTTTTTATTTGCTAGCTTTTATTGCTAGGTTAATTTATTACAAAGAAAGTGATATTTCTGTTGAACTTTGTTATAATTAAACATACTGTACCAATTAAAGATCATTATACTTGTTTCCTAGTGGGCTGGGATGCCTGGAACCGTCTGTGTCAGGATGGAAATTGGAACTTTTATACCAAGCCCCATGGCCAGCTGTGCTTCAAGTGAGTTTTAAAGTTAATTGGTCCCTTCTTTAAGGAGGGTCTGGCTCAGAAGAAACAGGCATTGGTAGAGCTGCACCCTGTCCATGGTGATCCACCCCTAAAAACAGTATCTAAAGGACCATGAACTTCTGGATGCTGGTTCATTAAGGTTCCACTGTAAAACGAAACATCTTTTGTGGTACTCATCTGCTTGTCTTTTTACTGCATGATGTTTAGACCTGCATTCTGCTAGTGCTTGCGCCTCAAAGCACAGGGCTCATCACCTAACTGCACATTAATGCTGTTAGGTCCAATTACGAGACAAACTTGATTATAAATATACAATTTTCAGAATGACAGGCACTTAAAGCTCATTAAGTAAAATACAAAAATAGATTATATTAATAGGAAATATTTAGTGTTTATCAAATTATAAATCTAGGCTTTTACCATTTTTTGAAAAGATACTGGAAACTGAAAAGAGATGACACTGAAATAAAGTGAACAATGCATTTTTTCCATAGCTTTCATTCTGAGCGCTGAACAATGCAATCTAAGAAAAGGACTTACCACAAAGCACCTAAAATAACATTTGTAGATGGGTATGTTGTCAACCATTTCTTACTGTTTCCCTCCCAAGTCTCAGTATCAAGGCATCAATAGTACGTTCCACAAGCAGCTGTCAGCATTCTGAAGCCAAGTGGTGTGCCTGTATCAGAGAAGTTGAAAACCCTTAAGGAGGTAGCTCTCCTTCCTGGGTGCTCTTCACCCAAAGGCGCAAGAAGGTTATGCTTCAGATTCTGCGCCTCTGTTTTCACTTGGACTTCCATCATTGTCATCTGGTTGATCGTTTAACAGTACATATTTTCCATCATTGGTTAGTGGTATGGACAGCATTAATTGAGCCAATGCTTCTGGATCCTGAAGTTATGGGAGTTTAAGAAGGAGAAAAGAAAATGCTTAAAATGCACTTAAAACCCCTTTGGCTTGGCTGTCATTATGTTCTGTAATCTAGCCTCATTCCTTCTGACTCGTCTGTGTGCGCCTTCAGGTGGGTCTCCTTGAATCTCTAAAGAAACCCTCAGTTGAATTACTTCCTCCAGAAACTAGGCCAAGTTTCTACCTCTCAGCCAAAATATCATTTACAGAGCCAACTCAGAATCATCTTTCTGAAAAGAGTCCAGAGAGGAACTTCCCTCACAACTTTGACCTTGTCTTTACACTCCTTTTTTCCTTTTACTCTATACCAAGAGTTGGCAAACTACGGCCATTTGGCTCGCCGCCCGTTTTTATTACTGGAGCAGAGCCATGCCAGTTCATTGACATACTATGGCAGCTTTCGTGTTAACAACAGCCGAGTAGAGTATTTGGCAGCAGAGACAGTAAGCTGAGAAAGGTTTATTATCTGGCCCTTTACAGAAAGTGTGCCAACTCTGATCTACACCATAAAGTACAAACTTGCAGGGCTTGCTGTGTTTTCATTATGTTGGTCTTAGTCCTTGATCTGTCTGCCCCTCCCTGATAGATTAGAACTGCACAAGTATGATACCCACTAGCTATTCAATACACTTTACTATTTACATTAATTTAAAATCCAGTTCCTTAGTCACACTAGCCACATTTCAATCTGCATATTAAATAGATCCTTTCCATTACTGCAGAAAGTTCTACTGGACAGTGCTGAACCAGAAGCCCCCTGTTCACTGCTGTAATTCCAGGGGTTTTCTTATACAAAATTTAATCTCAAAAATTAGTTGGGTAAATGAAAGATTGCAAACTGCTGATTAGACAGGTCTGAGAGTCTTCATTTCCGAGGTAACGTCTCAGTGTTGCTGGGCCTGTGACCACTCTGAGGAGGAAGGCCTTAGAGCGTGTGGTAGATGCTGAGGTTTGTACCAGCTTCATTTGAAAGAAAGGAAATCTAGCCAACAACAACAGGAACAAAAAAACCTGATAAAACAGTAGGAGGTGCAGCAGTGATACTTACTAAGAACTCTACGTGTTACCAGTGACCATGGAACTAGCTGATCAAAAATGCCTGGTAGTTAGAAGGCTTAAAAGGAAATCCCAAACTTGGCCACCCTGCCTAGTGAGCACCATTTCTCTTTGAGAGCTATCTAGGTGTAAAGATAGCCTCTGAGTTGTTGTTAAACTTGCACGAAAATGCACCTTACCTTCTGAACCTCAATGATTTCTTTTCCCAAGTTAATAGCATAACATATCTGCAAAAAACAAGAAAAGTAGTGTTTGGCAAAGGCAGAAAAGGATAAAGAATTTCAGAAAGAAATGTGATTATGAGAGTACAGCGAGGTCACTGTCTGCTCACGTCAGCATGGGGACAAAGGACCTGGCTGTAGGAGACTCATCACACAGGGCTCTGAACACTAGTGTCCACCTGTCCTGGTCTCCTGTTGCCGGTTTGTGCGTACAAAGAATATCCAGGTTAAGTGAACACTGAAGGTATTAAATCATTTAAAGTTCTTAGCGGGATACTTTTTTCCTTTCTCTCTTAACCATATTTAACCACTGCACGTTCATACACAGTGGTAAACAGATACTTCCTGAAAGAAGGGTTGATTCATTTTGATTATTCTAAGTAGTGAATGCAGTTTTTCACACTAAAGAACAGTTTAGATGTACTTTCCTGACATCTGCTTCCTTGGTTTGCTGAGAATAGATTTTCTCCATTGTAACTTTTGCTTTAATTTTTTAAAAAAGAATAAATTTGAGGGGAACTGCTTTAAACATTTCCAGATAGCTCTACTAAACATTTATATTTCACCATTAAAGTTCTTCATTCACTCTATTTTGGTTGATATGTATTTTACACAAGGAAATTATACTCCAGTTTTCTTTCAGTGGGACCTTACTAGGAGGTATTGTTATCTAAACTACTCAATGGGGACCTGAAGAATAGTCAACTAAATATCCAAGGAGGTTGTGTAAAATAACCCTTTAAGTATCTTTGTTTGGGCTGAAATATTATGGAATCTTAAGATGAAGAAAATAACAAGACCTTTTCGCCTTCTGAGTTGCTTTCAAAAACATATGTGCTCAGGGACTCTCCGCCTGTGGATTCGGGCATGCGGACCACAAAGCCAACCAGTCTCTTGTTTTCTTGATGAGCAGCAAACTGGGTGACACTGGTGAGTTCAAACTAGAAAAAAATAGGAATAGACCTAGTATCACACAACAAACTGGAATTAAAAAAGACAAGATCATTCTCCATGGCAAAAGTCATGAAAAAAGTACACTATTAGTGATATTTAATTTGGCAAATAAAATTTACTAAGTGCCTACTTCGTGTTTCAGGTGGCTACAAAGGTGAATTAAGGAGTAATCACTAAAATTAGCATGCATGAGGGTACTTACGTTGGCCCTTGTTACTTGAGTCTGAGGATCTATCAACCTGAAATTTTAAGAGATTGACTGTATCACAAATGTTGAATAAAATTATATCCTTAGATGAGTTTGTACAAGTTCAGAATAAAATCACACAAAACCCCTCGAAATATGAAATATAAGACCTAGTTGAGGGCGGGTGAGATCGCTCCATGTGACGATCCAAAGGGAGCATGTGCCATGATTTCTGCCTTTGTTGAACCTGTGTAGTTAAACCTCAGGGTATCTTTAATGGAAGATTATAGCAAATAGAGAATTTCACAGTATTTTAGTGCTTATCCAAAAAGGCTGCACTATAATTCTCTAGAAAATTCTCCAGAAAATTAATGTGGATGGATCTTATTCCGTATAGCCTCCATCTCAGCACTTACTATCAGTCTGTTTCCCTTAAAGTACTGGATAAATGGATACTTTTAACAATTTTTTTTTTTAAACATGGGGTAGAGGTGAGACAACAGTGAAGGGATTTTAACAAAACTATTCCCTATCAATCAGTTTGGGTGTAGGAGGAGTAACTTTAAGAAGGTATTCTAGATAAATTCTTTAACAACATTTTAAGCATCATCAGTGTCTCTGAGAAAATTAACGGCATTAGAGAATTTACTGCTATTTTATATATAGATAAAAATTTCTACTTTCTAACACATGGTATTATGTATATAAATTATTATTGATTTGCTGTAAGTTTCATAAGTGAAAGCAAAAAATCTGTTAAAAAGATGGTTATAATTCTGTTTAAATGAAATGTCCAGAATAGGCAAATCTATAGAAACAGCAAGATTAGTGGCTAGGGCTGAGCAGGTTGCAGGGGAAAAGGGAATGACTACTAACAGGTATGGGTTTTCTTCGGGGGGATGATGAAAATGTTCTAAAACTGTTTGTGGTGATGGTTGCACAAATCTGAATATACTAAAAAATACTCTAAAGGGGCAAATTGTACAGTATGTAAGTTATATCTCAATAAAGCTGTCCCCCCCAAATGGTTACAATTTGAAAGGTATGCAGTTATACTTGTTAAAGCATGGTGTATTTTATAATCAGAGGGCTTAAGACTGAATTCCAACCTGGCTACTTATTTATGATCTTGTGTAAGTCACCCTGACTTCTCTCAACTGCTTTGTAAAATTGGGATAAGAACCTCCATATATCAAAGAGGTGGTTAAGAAAACGAGAAAATGTGTATGGAATTTTAAGCTACAAAGCTAAATAAATAAATTTTTATGTCCCTATAAATGAGTATGAATTTAATTAAAATTTACATCATCAACAATTTCCCTCAAGTTGGGATAACTTTAAATATTTTGTAAAATTTTTCTATAAATGAAGATTTAAACCATTCATATATTTTGTGAGTAACTTTTAAGTTTGCTGTCTAGATCAGGTAACCTGGATTTGCTTAAGATCTGATTTTCTGTGTGACTTCTAAATTGTCTCAAAACATGAATTCCCATACAAGGATATGTATGGTAAAATTTACCATTATTGATATTTAACACATCACAACATTGTACAACCATCACCACTATCTAGTTCCAGAACATCTTCAGCACCTCAAAAGGAAACTCTCGTACCTGTAAAGCAGTCACTTCCCATTCAACTTTCTTCTCAGCTCTTGGCAGCTTCTCACTAATCTGCTTTGTCTCTATAGATTTGCCTATTCTAGATATTTCATATAAATGATCGTACAATATGTGGCTTTTTGTGTCTGTCTTTCAATTAGCATAATGTTTTAAAGGCTCATCCATGTTGCAATATGTACCAGTACTTCATTCCTTTTTAAGGCCGAATAATATCCCACTGTATGTATATACCACATTTTGTTTATCTATTCATCTTTTGATGGACATTTGGATTATTTCTACCTTCTGGCTACTGCGAATAGTACTATTATATGAACACTTGTTTTCAATTCTTTTGGGTATCTACCCAGGAATGGAATTCTATGTTTAAGTTATAAAGGAACTGCCAGATTATTTCCCACAGTGGCTGAACAATGTTATATGCCCACCAGCAATGGGTTCCAATTTCTCCACATCCTTGCTAACACCTGTTACTTTCTTTAAAAAAAAAAAAAAAATCCATAGCCATCCTAGTGGGTGTGAAGTGGTTCTGGATTTGATTTGCATACCCTAGTGACTCATGACACTGAGCATCTTTCCATGTGCTTGTCGGCCAATTATATATCTTCGGAGGACTGTCAACTCAAGTAGACATTCTTCCATTTCTTACCTGGGTTCGTTCTTTATACTGGGTACTATACCTTTATTAGATAATGATTTGCAGATGTTTTCTCCCATTCTGTGGGTTGTCTTTGCACTTTTTGGGATAGTGTTGTTTGATGTACTATGGTTTTTCACATTGCTTTTACATATATTTACCCTGATCTTTTCAGTGGTGATTTTAAGAAAGATTATCATAAGCTTTGTAGCTTATGAAAGCTTTCAATGCCTATGAAAGGTCCAGGACATACTTAGAGAAAACCTTTAAATAAATATAAGGTTTTACTCATAAGAACCTCATTCTCAGTAAAAGGTTTATAACAAATGAAAAGGACTGATTTTAATAAATGGAAGAAACTATATTCTGGTTTTTGCCAAACTGCTAGTTAACTTTTTGAAACTATCATTTATTACTTTGTATGTGCCCATCACAGCTGTAAATGTTTTACATGAATTAACTCACTTATTCCTCATGACAATACTATGGGGTGTGGATATGGTTGTTTTCATTTTATAGCTGAAGAAACTGAGGCACAAAGGTTAAGTAACTTGCTCAAGTTCATACAGCTAATAAATGCCAAAGTCAGGAATAAGGCTCTAAAGCAGTGCTGCTCTGCTGTCCCACAGAAATTTAGTGTAAGCCTCATATGTAATTTAAAAATTTCTAGCAGCCACATCAAAAAAAGTGAAAACAGCTGAAATTAATACACTTTAATAGGTTGAAAATATTACCAGCTAGGTGTATTATTAATTTAAAAATTATTTTGCATTCTTTTTTTGGGGGAGATAGTATGAGATCTTAAATGTTTGGTATGTGTTTTACACTTAAAACGCTTCTCAATTCAGATGAGTTAGGTTTCAAGTGTTACATGTAGCTACAGTATTGTACAGCGCAGGTCTTAATGCCCATGGCAGCCACAGCTTGACGGTCGTTTGCCATCATTCATATGGATCATATTACTTGAAACCACAAATCATGTAGCTAACATGACTTAGCTTCTTTATTTTCAGCCCAACAAATATTAATCAGATTTTCCTTGTGGTGGTCTAGTTATCTCAGGCAGGCTCATGTTCTGTTTTCATAGTTTTTAATTTTTATAAATAGTACTCTCAGAGATGGAAGAGAAAAAACAAAAACCCTTCCACTTGCAACCTCTGAGATACAGAGAGTAACTCTCGAGTGATGGCATCTTTACGCCCAACAGGGTAGAATTCACTCACCACTAAAGATACCAGTTGCTAAAAATATCAGCTCTTGTCTTTAAGGGCACTTCATCTAGCCAATGTATCTTATAAAACCAAAATGTAAACAACAGCAGAAACATGAGTAGCATCTTTACTTAATCTAATCAAACAATTCTACTATGAACATTCTAGATGGTTAAACGTGCTTTCAAAGGGGAATCAGTTGAAGCTGTAAGAAAATCTGAAAACGAAACTGAATGTACCTCAGAGCTTGACTGGTGACCATCAGATGGGATTCTGTCATACGGAAGATGTTATGAATAGCCCGAGCAGCCAATACTTGTCTCATCGCTTCGTAAATCACTTCAGTAGTGTTGTCTGTTTTAACTGCCATTGATCCCAAAAACCGAACTATAAACATCTGTTGCAAAAGAGAATCTGCAAGAGAGCATTTTCTGCTCAGGATCATTTCACTTCCTGCCTGTCAATGCACATACCAGAAGCACATGTGCTGGTCTGAGAACAGGCTGAAGACCTAGGGTTTGCCTTGCTTTCTGGAGGGCTTTCTACCAAAACTTCTGAATACTCTGCTTTTATATAAGCCACAAATTGCCAAAGCTCTGAATCTCCTATTGTCCATATTTTGTCTGTTTGGAACTATTCATTAGACTAGAAAAGCACCTCTTTTTCTTCATCTATAAAATGAAACCACATGAACATCCTTCTAGCATGAAAACTCTAGGTTGACTACATGTAAGTGGCAGTATATGCATCTTACTTTTTCTCTGAAAATAAGAGCTTTTCCACTAGACAATAGAAAATTCATTCATTACTTTGGCCCACTGTAAAGTCCTCTTATAGAAGAAAATGTATTTGAAGAAATAAGACCTGATGTTGGGTTTCATTCAAATCATGCACATCATTTATTACTGAAGGGCAGTGATGACGTTCCATAAACTAATGGAGATTGCAGAACTATTAGCATATTTGATGCTAATGAGCTGACAGTATTGGCTTCTTGATAATGGCACGTAACCTGACAAACTGAATAACAGCAGCCACACCTGGAAGATCATGAAGAAGGTTTAGAAGATCTTTTTTTTTTTCTGTAAGAACAGTAATTCACTTATCCACCATTTGAAACTAAGAAGCCTACTTTTTCTTCACTTGTCCTCCCTATGAGTATCCTTGCCCCTAAAAAATAAGGGTTAAAAAAACTTACTAGGAAAATATAACTGATATGTTGTAAATGGTTACTCCCATATGAAGCTAGTTTTTACAAGTTAGAAAGTTTTTTATGTAGACAGTTAAACTGTGGACTGTGTGAGAAGTCAGCTAGATAGTCAGATTTGATGCAGAGCCTATTAACATTTTTTCTTTTTTTACCTAAAGCTGTAAGGAATGCCAGTTCTCAAGTCCTACTTTTAAATTTAAATAAGTGGCATTTCATTCTAATGACATTCTCAGGCTTCAGTCAAGGAGAGGCTGTGTTAAAATGAGGTCTTGCCCGCACTTCTAAATTGCCTTGGCTGGGAAGTGTAGCTCTTGGGAGTAGCAGGTTTTGGTCAGCTCTACTGAGTATGTTCTTATGTACCTTGTAAGAATGTAAATCAAACAACAAAAATCAGAATCTGAATTTGAACAAATTAAATACCTTTTTTTTTTTATGTCATCTTCAAATTTAAGAATGAGTTATCTGTGTTTTTGGTTTTCTAAAATGAAATAGCATGTCTGTGACTCACCCAGATTTTATCCTCTTGGACTTTGTTTTGCAGTAATGTTATAGCAAATTTAGATTTGGCAGCATTTCTCTGCAGGAGCTACAAAAAGGGCATGGATGTGGCTGATGGTACGACAGCTGCAGGAAATCTGTCAGCCTCCCCTTAGTGTTTATGCCAGGATGGTCCTAACTGCATGTGTCCTAGTGAGTCTGCACAGAGAACACACATCTGTGGATCATAATTTCAATTCATATTTCAAGTCAAAGCTCTTTAGAACATGACTTCACATCTTATTTCAATGGCCCTGGTCATTTTGTGCCGGGGAAAGAATAAGTACACAGAACTAGCCACTTACCTTCTGTTTCTGGAAACGTCTCATCCTCAGTTTCACCAAAAGGGTTGATACGCCTAGGGGAATAGCCAGAGTCAAACATCCTGACAGTTTCAGCTAAAGGGACACGTGACACTTGAACTCTAAGTCAGAAGGAGGTGGGTAGGGACACGAGACGTTAAATTTATTTTCAGTTCTCCCAGAGATAAACCCCCTTAGCCCATACCTGCTCCCTCTGTTCTGATCAAGGAATTCTGTAGCAGGAAGTACAATGTCAAACTGAATAGGTGTTCCAGGTGCAATTAGTTGTTCAGCTTCAGGTATGCCTGCTGCTTTGGGAACAATCTTGTCATTTTCCACCTCTGAATTTTTCATGTTCTGGCTGGAGTACAAAATAGGAAAAAAAAATTTTTTTTTAAATCCCTGTTAACCTTAAGCTTTTACAATCAAATGAATACTTGTTGAATGCCGACGTAACTTTTACAAGTAGATAAGGGAGAAGATTTAACCCACTCTACCAATAAATCTTCGTAAAATGTCATTCACGTCCATGGTTAAAATCCCTCAGATCTCCACGTTACCTATAGCTTGTTCTGGTGCACAGCATTCTGCATTGTTAAGACTACTTATTATATTACCTGTTAATTTCCTGTTTGTATCTTTCTCCCTTTGAGACAGGTTTTTGAGGGCAGGAGCTATATAGCTAAATCATATTTATTACTTGCTACGTAGTAGGCACTCAAAACCGTTAGCTGAATGAATAATACATCTTGGCCTGGCATTCAACCACCTGGCTGTCCTTTCTCCTGAAGGTCTCCCTCTCCCCTCCCTTAATGCATCCTCCACTAGAGCTGCACCAAACACCCATGTGCTTCTCATTTCCAGCTCCATCGCAGGTCTGCTGCTCGCTCACTCTCTCCTGCACTTCAAACACCAGCTCAAATTGCCACTCATCCACTAGGCCTTTCAAGCCAGCCTGACCCTCTCCTTCCTCTGCAGTCCTGTGGTTCTTCTCAGTAAGCCACGAGGACAGCCTTGGATCTCTATGTGCCTCCTGAGCTTAGCACTGTGCCCACATGTACTGTTTTGAGACTGTGGCATGTAAAAGTAGAGCATGGTCTGTAGTAATTAATGTGCCTCCATGTTTCTTCTCTTCCAGTGTCAGAATGCTGTAATTTCACCTTTCAGGTTTATAATCTTTTAGTGTAAAAACCTTTGAGGGGCAAATCATGTAAAAGTATTTTGATTTCTTACATTGTTTGAACCATAAGAAGACTCTCAATATCCTTCCATTCATTTGATATTTTGTATATCAGCATTGCAAATTTCTCAAGTATGTCAATAACTAAATAGGTTGTATGGGGCTTCCCTGGTGGCACAGTGGTTGGGAATCCGCCTGGCAAGGCAGGGGACACAGGTTCGAGCCCTGGTCTGGGAGGATCCCACATACTGCGGAGCGGCTGAGCCCATGTGCCACAACTACTGAGCCTGTGCTCTAGAGCCTACGAGCCACGACTACTGAGCCCACGTGCTGCAACTGCTGAAGCCCGTGTGTCTAGAGCCTGTGCTCCACAACAAGAGAGGCCACTGCAACGAGAAGCCGGCACACCACGACGAAGAGTAGCCCCTGCTCACCACAACCAGAGAAAGCCCATGCGCGGCGGCGAAGACCCAATGCAGCCAAAATAAATAAATTAATTAATTAAAAAAAAATAGGTTGTATGGAACTGTTATAATATCAGCTGACGAATGAGCATAATGAATGGAAAATGGATACAAGCACAATAGACAGAATGGTAGACGGTCACTGCAAGGAGAGATGCTTAGTTTTAACCTCCGTTATTAACAGAAAAGGAAACCGAGGCCTCTAGAGAAGTTGAGTGGTAATCCTGAAGGCACTCAGTTACCTGGTGGGTCAGCTAGATTAACAACTAAGGTCTCCTCGCTGCCAGCACAGCGCTCTCCCAGTGTCACACTGCCTCAGTAACCAAGATCAATCACATCTGCTCTATGATCAGTCTTTAAGAGAGTATGATATAGTAAGTGAAGCTCTGGAGGAAGGGGTGAGTAGAAGCTTCAAGGGAAGGAAGCGAGTCCCAAGATTTTGGCTCCCCAGTGGGTATGAGGGGAGATCACACAAGGAAGACAGGAGGGGGCCAGGCTGTAGAGGGCTGTTAACACCATCGGGTGAGGTCTAACTTGACTCTGCATGTAGGCGGCCACTGAAGACTCTTTGAACAGAGGAGTGAAATGATAGAAATTAAAGCATCACCTGTGATCTGCATGTCACCAACTCGAATGGACACTTTGGGATCATCATCCTGTTTGGTGTCCCAAAGCATCTAACATGATTGGCCTCTCCTCCTTGAAATTCTCCTTTCTTGGTTTGTGCTGATGCCACACATTATAGGTTTTCCTCCTACTCTTCTGCTGTTCCTGAAGTGTTTTTTGCAGGCTCCTCCGCTAATCCACATGTTGGAGCTCTTTAGACTTCTGTCCCAGGCTCCACTTCCCTCCCTCTACGCTCTCCCTAGCTGACCTCTTCTACCACCACTTCCGTGCTGATGGGCTCCCAATTCAGAGACTCAGCCCAGACATTTTCTTTGCCCTCCAGACATAATATCAGATGACTACTTGACAATTCACTGGAATGTCTCACAAGCCTCTCAAACTTATGTCATAAACCGAACTCCTGATACTGACTACCAACTCTTCATGTCTTCATGGTGGTGTCATATCGCCACCAACTGCCAAGGTGTTCAACCCAGACTGTGGTCATCCTTTGTTCCTTTCTTTCCACTCCACATCTCACATAACAAACGTCCTACAGATTCTGCCTTCAAAGTAAGTCCCCAATCCACCTACTTTTCATCTCCTCTGCCATGATCCGTTTAAGACACCATCGTGTTCTCCTGGACTAGTGCTACAGACTCCTCACTGGATACCTGCTTGCCCAGCTCTGCCTTGTGTGTCCTCCACAGCAGCCAGAGCTGACCTCGGAACATGTAAAGTGGATCATCTCTCTTTCTCTCACTCTCCCTCACACACACCCCTACCTCTAAAACCCTTCCAGAGCTCCCCAAACCCCTGCCCTGACTTCCTTCATGATCTGTCCCTGCCCCCCTCCCTCCCAACCTCGTCTTGCTCTATGACCTCCCTCTGCCGACCACTGTCTAGTTACAGTGATCTCCTTTCAGTTCCTGAAAGACACCAAGCTCTTCTCTGCCATTCAGCCTCCACAGCTGGCATCAGGAATGCACTACCTCTGGCTCTTTGCAAGAGAGGCTACTTCTCATCTCTTACTTCTCAATTTAATTATCTCTACAGACAGGCCCTAAATAGGTCTCCTCCTTATTCTCCATGACAGCACCCTCATCTTTAACATAACAGTGCTTTCCTGTATTTTAACTAAGTATTTGTTTACGTTTTGCCTGTCTTCTCCTACAAGTCTGTAAGTTTCACCATCTAGCTCAGCGCCTGGAAACATACATCTGTTGAACAGCTGGATAAGTGAATGAATATTACATATAAGTAACTGCAGAACGAGGGAAGGCCACGTAGGAAATCTGCTTGGAAGTGAACGGCAGTTTGTTCCCAAGAACAGAGTTTCTCTGCTTCATTCTCCCACTGTCATCAAAACATCTCTTTATTCCTAATGAGCTGACCCTAAGAGAGATGCTAGCCCGGCCCTCCACTGCTCTGGGGCCATCATCTGGCAGCCACATCTGTCACCCTTCCGATCTTTGCATTGATCCAGCTGTCTGGCTACAGTCATTTTTTTTCCTAGGGATTCTTCTGTATCCCTTCTATGGGTTCCTTTCTAAGAATGTGATTTAATTACTCTATTGTAGAACAGAGGAGAAAAATCAGTTACTGAATAAATAAATCTGAGCTGCAGACTGTTTTTTAGAAAACCAATCACACCTTCTGGTTACACCCCAGAAAGACAGCATTTTAGAGCTGGAAGAGGCCTTGGAGGTGGTCTGATTTCTCTCATCTTACATCACAGAGTTGAGGAGACAGAGGCCCAGAGTGCTGACGACCCACTCAAGGACATCTAGCTGTGTTCAGAGCTGTTATTAAGACCATGTCTCCTAACTCCAAGTCTAGTGCAGGGTTCTCCACTATGTCCCTCTAACACTCGTGTGGCTTTACAGAGAGCAGACAGACACATTTACCCAGTACAGTGCTCACAGGTTAGCCCCACTGGCCGGATCTGTATTTCCATTTCCATTTATAAAGTGCTTTCCTTAAAGCTGCTCTTAGTAAACATGCTACTTTTGTGTAAACTGTTACCCTTAAATTATGGCACTGGAGTGTTCTCAGACTTGTTGCCTCGTCCCCATTTTTATTCCCTTTGCTCAGGTTCTCATGTTCTGTTTCACAGCTACTATCACAGGGACATCCAGTGGGGCCTCGCTGCCCTCCCTTCTCCCGCCCCACCCGCTCTCTCCCAGAAGGTGCCGCCCAGCAGTCTTTCCAGCCGGTTCTGACTATGCCTCCCCTCTTGTCAAAGCCTGCAGTTCTGTTCCCCTGCCTGTGGCTCCTCAGCAGGGCACCTAGTTCTTTCACCATCGGACTCAGCCTATTCTCTGCTTTCTCTCGGGCCGTTCCTCCTGGCGTCCCAGGGCTGGGTGTGCGAGCACTGGCTCCACACTGCACCGCACTGAGACCCTGGGAAGTTACTCAACCACTCTGAGCTTTCTGACAACTTTCTTCTGGAGTCATTAGACAGTATCTGTAAAACATGTAACGGGATTCTTTCTACCATACCACTAAAGATGGAGGCCTAATACAGTCATGATTTCAACTTGCCCTGTGATGCCATGCTTTCATTAGCATAACAGAAAATACAGCCTTCTATTATTTAATCAAATGGAAACTCCCATTAAGATGGCATTCCTGGAATAAATCCTAAAGCAGTATTCAAAACAAGAGGAAAGCTGTATGTGTGAAAATGCTCACCATAAACGACAAGAGCAAACAAAGGAAGGGGAAGCAAACTAAATATTCAAATAGTCAATAATAATAAATGATGGATAGTGTGTAAAGGAACAATTATGAAAAATGTGAAAAATATATATGTGCAATAAATGCACATATGATAAGGCCTGCACCATAACATGGACACGTAAAAGGTGATTTTCTTCCTTATTTAAAAAAAATTTTGTTTTGGTTTCATGATTTTGTTGATGCTGATACGAAATGTGGGGAGAACTCCTGACTAGCAGGATACTCAGTGCATGTCCTATGTGCTCAGGCTGCAGCTGCATGGTCCAGGGGAAGGAGGTGGACATTGAAAGCAGACAGCTTTGAATTCTGACTCGGCCTCTCATTTGTGGTGTGAACATGGGCAAAGTATTTACCCTTTCCTGGTCAGAGTTACTGCTTCTGTACAACAGGGCTGAACACCACGGTGCTGTAAAGATGAAATTCCCAGTACAGGTGAAATCCCTAATACACAGTTTGGCTCCACAAAAGCTAGTTTTTTTCTGTCCTTTAGTTACCTGGGGCAAGGGCTTTCTTGTTTTTTTGCAAAACTTGTAATTGGAGTCACTGCTTGGAGAGCCGTCTGATTCAACTTGATGGCGACTGCCTAAAAATCCAGAGGAAGACAGGCTCAGTTCCAAGAGGTGGACGCTTACCTTTCACATTGAGAAAAGAGCTGAGACGCATGTAGGGCAGCTGTGAATTACCTCTGGGTTGTCAGTCAGGTAGATCTGTCTGGAGATGTTGTTTATTGCACATATCCACTGTAGATGACATTAAAAAAACGTGCTGAATCCCAAAGTCACCCACTATACTAGAACAGAATTGAAACAAACAAAACCTTTACCTCTTCGTTTTCCTTTCTGCTTTCCGCCTGGAGGATTATTCCCCTGAAATAAAGTACATCTAAGTAAGTGCTTCCTGGACCTCAGTGACTGAATATCTTCATGCAGCGGGCCAGGAATAAGATACAAATACTTCTGCGAAGGCGCCACTCTTAAAGGGACTCCACACCTGCCAGTCCCTTTGCTCCTCATCTCATCTGTGGGAGGTGGGGAACATGGATTTTATCCCTATTTCTTATCTGAGGGAACCAAGGCCCAGAGGAGTTAAGTAACTGCCTGGGACTGTGACTAGAATCCAGAAGCTTCGTTCCCAGGTCATTTACCATCACCCAGAGAGGAAGGATGATGTCTAAAAATGCTCTGCCATTCTGGGAGAAGAGATGGTCTACATCATACCAACGCTGCCCCCTCCCCATGAATGTGCTATTTTTCAAATAAAATCTCAACTCAGAAGCCCAACAGAGAAAGCAAACGCAAGCAGAGCAGCTCTGACTGAGAACGGGGCCACTCCTCTCCCTCAAGCAGGTGAAGCCTGGAGCACTTCATGGGGCTCCAAACTCCTTGGAGCAGTTTGAAACCACTGCTCTAAGTGAGAGGGGGTCCCACTGGGATGGGATCTACTGTGACGATACACGGCTGCCATTCTGCAAACATGGCCTCTCCTGGGCCCCAGGCGCACAGCAGATGTGGGGACAGAGTGCTGACGAATAACTGCTGCAGCGGCATGTCCTGGTCACATTTCCTGTGTCAGCTGGGGAAGCAAACTCCTCAGGCAGGCACCCACTCTCCCCGTCAGCCCCCCGACCCCGTGATGTGGACACAAAGGCTTGTCTAGAACAGACGAGGAGCGGCTACAGCCCCACCCCTCTCTCTCTGAGTCTCCGCTGACAAACAGCTCCTATCGCTGTCTTACACGTGGAGGTCACCTCTTCTCCATAGCCACAGACAAATCCTCTCTGGGACCTCTTAGATAAGGCAGGCTGGATTCCATATGGTCCTGTGTGCTTGCTTAAAGAGGACATAAAACCACCCTCCCGAAAGGTCAACACCACCCAGAACAGGGCCTCCCCTGTGGAGGGCTGGCACAGAGGAGTGACCTAGGAGGCCCTTGGCAGAAGTGGGGTCACTGCACCTGTTTCCTCCCACATAAAACCCGTGTGGCCTACGCTTTTCCATTGGGAGTGGTGATCTGGAAGCAGTATCGTCGGTCTTCACAGTCCACCGCCATCACTGAGCAGTTGTCCAGGTCCTGGATCAAGCCTCCAGCCACGGCGCCCCTGGGCTGACACATGAGATTCCCGCCTTGGGTGAAGAAGTAGAGTCTCTCCCAGGTGGTGGTGACCAGCCCTGTTTTACTGTAAGAATTGTGTTGTGAAAAGCTCATTAGTCCTAGGAAGCATAAGAGGCACCTCAGTCTTGCTGCCTCTTTATGGGTATTCGTAGCATTTTAGAAATAATGTGTTGCTTTACATTAAAGCAAAACTTCTCTGAAAAGAATTCAAGTGCAAAGAGTAGCAGGAGAGGCACAGGTTAGCTTGAATGAGCTGGGAGCTGATGGGCTCTGCTCAGACGGGAAAGGCTGGTCCACAGCCAACTCCAGGGTGGGGGCAGGGGGCGCCCACCCCCACTGCAGCCAGTCTCTGGCTTCTAAAGCCGGGAGCTGGAAACAGAATTAGTCCATCACCATCGGGAACTGAAAACCTGGAAGATCATTTCTCTAAGACACAGAGCTGAACTGCTCTAAGTCTAGTTAGAGTGACCAGGGTTACCCCGGCCACAGCGCACACCCCAGAATCCTGGGCACTTTATACCAGCTTGGGTTCTGCTCCAGCTACATGTTATGCTTCTTCTGTGGGCTGTTTACAAGAGAAAAATCTAGTTCCTGGCAAATAAAACCAGAACCTTGTGGAGTTTTCTATCTGTACAGAACTAAAGGAGACCTCTGGCTTGTGATGTCAACGAGCTTTACAGACCTCTGAAAGGCTCTAACCTGGTAAGAAAACAGCCGGCACCTCTTCACACACCCTCCATTTGGGGGATATCAAATATATTTATTCGATTCGGTATTTACTGAGTAGCGACTATGTATGGGGCACTAGGTTTCCTGCCTCAGTAATGGTAACAGCTGACATTTGAGTACTTACACCTGCTAGGAATTACCTCACTCAATCTTTGCGACAACTTTATGAAGGAGGTGCAATCTTCAGCTCTATTTTACAGATGAAATGCCGGGGCAGCGGGGCCCAGCCGGGCCAGGACATCTGACCAAAGTCAGAGCTCACCACCACACCTGACAACAACCCCACCTGCTCTCAGACACAGTCAAACCTGGGTACCTCTTTAATTCATAGTGAACATCTGAAACCTGAGGGTTAAACATGGGGTTCAGTCTATATGAACCTAGATGACTCTGGAAGCTTCCTGGCCCTCAGGCTCTGGCCTCAGTGCTGCATCACCGGCACACTGCTCTCGCCCATCAGGGGGTCTGGGGAAGGGTCTCAGTGGTCTAGGATGAGGACAGTTAAGAGCAGTCTATGTCAAACGGCCATGGTGACCAGGGAGGGGCGGCCTGTGGTGTCTTGGGAGTCTACGCACTGACTGGGTTCTTACTCACACGACTGTTTCAAGCCCCGTCTCTCAGTGCAGTTTGGGACCTGGGCCCAGACACTTCCTATGTCCCAGGCAGGAGGGGCGCTGTGGCGGGAGCTATAACCCAACCTCACACACCCCCGCCCTCTGATGGGGCACTTAACAGGTGCTTTTTAGCCACTCCCAGGGAACACAGATTTTAGAAAAAGAGGCAGGCAATGAACTCTCACTTTCTAAGGTTAAGGTAACCAGCCTTCTGGATGAGGTTCCTGTTGATCTGGGGTGCAGCCACATCGAAATCTGGAGTGTAAACAGCTTCCTCAAGAGAAAGTAATTCTTGCTGGGATGCCTGCATCTTCTCCGCTTCCGCTTCCAGTTCCACCTGGATGCTTGAGACAGAAGGTGTCCGGTCAGTCACTTGTCACAGCAGATGGTGGAGCCTCCCCATGGCTTCCTGCCTCACACAGGGGGGCACGACACTCCACCTCTGAGGCTCTGAAAGCTGGAGATCACAGGGACTCCGGTCTGTGCTACCAAATTGTTTATATGACTGTTGTTTTCAAACAGAGCATAACGAATACCACTGGACGATGCCTGAACCCAGCTAAATAATTTCTCTGTTGACACAGTGGTATCCAGGCTCAGACTTGTCGATGCAAGTTTTAGAAGATGAACCCATCCTCAGGAGCCGCATGTGCTGGCAGCCTGTGAAAGAGCCAGAAAGGCAAGAAGGAAACGGCAGTCATTCGTGGCCCCCACCCCCCGGTTTAGGCAGGAATGGTGGGGACGGCCACTGCAGACCGGAAAGTGACCAGGAGGTGGTACCAAGGCGCAACAGCAAAGCCAAGAGCAATGCTTTTCCTTATATGAGAGCCACACAACTGCCCTGAGACGGTGCAGGCTGGCCGGCCCGTCTGCACATGGTCTGAGGCGTGGAAAAGCTGGAAGCTTTAGCTTTCTCCCCATAACGTGAGGCCTCAACAGCTACCCCACCCAGGGGTGACAGCCTGGGTGACAGTCCTAAACACAGTCTGCCAAAATGGGCCCTCCATCCGAGAAAACAAACTCTAGAGGCGTTGTTCCACTTCTCCACTGTGTAAAGGAGGTAGGACTGAATTCCGATGTTGAAATCGGGAGGAACCCTAGGGGCTAGCGTTTTACAGAGTGAGCTCCTCAGCACTTCCTTTCAAAAGCATTCTGTAGGTCAGGGAGATTGGGCTTGTGTGTTCCAGATGCTCCTCTTAGAGGTTCACAGTGTATACCACCTGTATCCTGTTTAATGCAACCCTAAGGCAAGCCGTCAGTCCAAGTTAATTTTGGCTACTTTGATGTTTGAATGGAACGATCTGGGGCTCCACCAACAAACTTCATTAGTTTAACGGGGTTGTCATTGCCAAGGCTGAGAATGGAATGAGAAAAAAGAAGTTAAGCTGTACAGAAGTGGACGGAGGGAGCCAGAAGTATACAGAACCGCTTAGGTCCTTCAGCTTTTGTAAGAAGCCTCTTTGAAGATCTGATGAAAGGTAAGGATTGTCTCCCCCAGAAAAGCCCTCATGTGAACCAACGTGACATCATGCACACAACTCCAGGGAGTTTTTAGTAACTGTCCCCCCTCTGCTCCCCGACCCATACAGGGAGGCTCAAAAACTGAGCTAGGGCTTCCCTGGTGGCGCAGTGGTTGAGAGTCCGCCTGCCGATGCAGGGGACGCGGGTTCGTGCCCCGGTCCGGGAAGATCCCACATGCCGTGGAGCGGCTGGGCCCGTGAGCCATGGCCGCCGAGCCTGCGCGTCCGGAGCCTGTGCTCCGCCAACAGGAGAGGCCACAGCAGGGAGAGGCCCGCGTACCACAAAAAAAACAAAAAAACAAAAAACTCTGAGCTAATCCAAGCCTCCCAGAACTCAAAGAACAGGGTAGAAAAGTGACTCCCTTCAACTGTTCCCTTCGAAGATTTTTATTTTAAATCATGTTTCATTTAATTAAAAACAAAGCGTGTGTGTGTGTGTGTGTGTGTGTGTGTGTGAGAGAGAGAGAAGGAGCCAAGAAAAAAGCCTGAAGTGTATCACTGTGAAGTAGGGACTGAAAGAAAAGCCCCTGGCACTGTGGGGTGGTGTGAAATGCCACCCATCTGGGTTTAGGCTGGATTCTGACCCTGACGCAGTGAGACCAGGCATCCACCTCCCGGGGAAGGACTGCAGAGCCCAGAGCCACCACTAGACGCTGTTCCTTGGCCACTCGGGCTGGCTGGCTGCTGATGCCCAGCAATGTGGCAGCAAGACCCCTCCTAGTGGCACAGGCGCAGCAATACTTATCTACTCACCAGGATACAACGTAAGGGATAAGAAAACTAGAATTCTTAGCTGAATGCTTCAGCCGTTTGAACCAGGAGGTTCCCGTGCTCCCAGGTTCCACTGGGAGCTCTGCCTGCTGCCCCTGTAACAAGATGTGCCTGGTCAGGCAGCAGAAGCACGACTCACAGAACTAGACCCGGCCCTCGGGAGCAGGCTGTGTGGCCGGGGCTTTCAACGCCAGTCACAAAACTGTGGGAACAGCTGGTGCTGCACTTTGGTGGCCTAGTAACGGCTCAGAGAGACACTGACAAGGAGAGAGGACACAGGCTGCAGGATGTGTGGAAAGATACACACTGCAGCATCTCGGAAATGGGCATGAATGTCCTGCCACCAGTTAATAAAAAAATCTAGTACATGAAAAAAATTTGAAGCACAGGTAGTTCTCTCAGAAACAAAAACCATGGGATTCTGAGAGTTAAGGAAGGTAAGAGAAAGACAGTGAGAGACAAGGGAGAGAGGGTTTTTAAATGACAATTTAATAGGCTCCCTTCTCTCACTTTCTCCTAACCCTCCAGGGGCTAACAAATTAAAAGGCAGGAAACTGAGCTCGGATTTCACAAATTGCCTTCTAGCATAATTATAAATCTAACCTGCATCCAACGATCAGGAAGAAAACAGCCCAGGGACTTTCAGGAAGGAATATATGCTTTCCTAAACCACAACTCTCCCCTCGTGCCTGTATGATGCTCAGCACTGGTCTTCCTTGGGATTCATTCTCTATCTTCAGCATTTTACGGAAACTTCTGTCTAAATAAATTTACTGCTTGGCCTCCTTAAGGTATTTTGAAATGCAACATCCTCAAGAAAATGAACAACTTTCTCTTCATTTTTCCACACAAAATCCTATACTTATACTTGTTTTGTATATTTACCTATCAACTACACACGTATATACAGAGAGACATTATTTCTATACTCCAGGAATCATGCGGAGTACTCAAGGAACCACACGTCTGCGCTGTTAATGAAGTAAGCCTGGTGCTGGCAGCGCCTGGGCGCCTCCCGCGAGCTCACTACCGCAGACGCTGATGACAGGAAGCAAGAAGACTCAGGGCAGCCCCAGCCTTAATTAAACGTGGGCAGGACAGTCTGCAGAGATGACACTGTATTTGTTAAAAATAAACATTTGCAAGGCTGAACTGCAGTTTGTTAAATTAATTCAAAAAAAGGCTTAAGGCCTTATTTATCTATTATAAATCAATGTGATGTTAAGTTTCCTGAAAAGTTACAGCACTTCCGGCCGCTAACCCCATTAGCTCTCAAAGAAAAAAGCAAGCATCTCTTCTAAACTGGACTCATAGGCTTATAGCATGTGAAATGTGAATATTAACAAAAGGAGATCCTAAGAATAGGAACTTGGACTTAATGGGAAAGTACTCCTGTGGACATTATAATCTTTTATTTAGTCTTTTAATGTAGTAGATAGGACTCTGGCTCCACACGGGTCAAGAACTGCAGAAATCATGACTTTTCAACCACACAAAGAGCAGCAGCTAAGAGGAGGGCGCTGTTCTGAGCATTCATGGAGTGGAGGGGGCAGGGGGCTCTCTGGGGCCCTCCCCCCACCTCCCAGAGAGACTGATTCAGCAGGAGAGGCAAAAGGCACACGAGATGCAAACCGGAGCGCAGCATTACCTTTGAACCATGTCTGCAACGGAGGCTAAGAAGCTGTCCATACTTTGGGAAAACATCTCTGCTCCCTTCTTAAAAAAGTTAATCTGAAAGATATAATTATGATATTCTGAAAATTGTCTAAGAAAGGTGATCGATGAATTCATGACATGTGAGACTAACAGCACAGGGGCAGCAGACACTGGCTGGCCCCTCCTCGCGCACTTGCTGCCTCTCTGCTGAGCCCCACCTCACTGGCTGAGATTGACTCCCAAAGCCCCTGGTGTATCTGTAGAGGGAGGAGGATGAAGCCTCCTACCTTGCTGCAAGGCAGTAGCGACCAGGGATAATATAAGTGCTTGGTACAGACCACCTCATCCATAATTACTACTGATGACTATTTTGATATTATCAGCAGCAGCCTTTTTCCTGTGTCAATTCTAGACAGTAACCGGTTTCTTGAGGGCAAGGATTAGGTCTTGTTCACCTTTGCATCTCCAGGGGCTAAACTGGTGACCAATGACATGCACAGCACCAGCAAGGAGCAGACAAGCAGCGTGCGGCTCTCAGTGAAGGGAAGGCCACCACCGACTGCCCCTGCTCATCGAGCCATGCGTGGCTCTGAACACAGGCTGTGTGGATGGTGGTTTGGGCGATCTTGCAGAGGGAAGACCGGGCAGAAGATCCTTAAAAGGCTCTTCCAACCCAGACATCAACTTCAAAGTGACTGTGTATGAGAAGGACACAGCAGGGCTGCACAGGTGCTGGACATGGGGGACAAGGCCCCTGCTGCTCCCCAGCATTCTGATCTGGAAGCAGCCCTGGCCCTGGGTGGTGGGCATGGAGATCGACCTCTCACCTCTAGAAGGCTAGTAGGTGTCATCAGCACAGTCTGACTCCTTACACCTGCTCCCCAGACGCCCTGGGGAGGTATGTACACCAAGGTACTTAGTTTTCACAGTACAGAAACACGATGATCATGATTATCCTAATGCAAGGTATACCTGCAGGGAGATGTTCTGGCCCCATGATCTTTGAACCATACAGAGATCAACACTGTAAATGCCATCCTGAGTCCCTGAAATGTTGAATATCAAGGTCTGTTAAACAAGCATTCTACATTTCTAAGTGTACAACACCAAGGTGGCTTTTTCTCTCCTTCCCCTCCCTGAACTCCTTGGAATTTATACTCTAAGTCCATGTCTTAGCTCCTCTACTACTCTGTAAATGCCTAGGGCAGGGGCTCATGCAATCCCTAAAAAAAACCTGATGAATGAACGGATGAAGGAAGGGATACGACACTGGCTTCTACAGCCACATTATGTAGTACTTACCCTGTAAATATGACACTAGAGTTCATTTTTGTGTTCTCATGAACCTGTACACAGATAACAAAACCTCAGTTTGTATGAAGGCCTGAGGAATGAATCATGGTCTAACTGGAAACCTCTTCAATGAGGGCCACGGAAGGAAGAAATGGAGTCAAACCACCTCCACTAAGGTGGGTGGTGCTGAGAAGTCTCGTTCAGTGCAACATCATCCAAAGACCTAAGTTCATGGCCCTTTGTGAACAGTAGGAAGTACTATGGTCATATGACCATCAACTGACAAAGGAGATGCTCAATGGGCATTGGTTAAAGAGGCCTGATGAGGCAGTAGGACAGCAAATGCTTTAGAATCATCCCAAAGATTCATGGTGTCAGACAACAACCTGGTCTTTAGGAAGGAACTATAGTTTTCATCAGGATGAAAAAGTCTGCAGGGTGAGATTTTTATTTGGTCTTCTGTCTTGAAATCTGCATACTTTTCATATGAAAAATGAAACATGCCATCCTCGGTCCTCAAAAATGACGCTGCCACCACCCAGCAGTGACGGTGTGCTCTGTTCTGACTTCCTAGGCACGGGGGCTACACTGGAGCTAATGCACCCAATGTCTTGTCCTCCCCACTGTGTCCAGGCTGGGAGAAGTGGTGGAGTCCTTGGCCATGGAAGCGAGTGAAGCCGGCCAGTATCAAACCCATCCTTTAGGACTTGTGAAGACCCTCCTCTAAACAACCAAGCTCCCCAAGCACTGATCCATCAGGCCTGGAGCAGTTCATCCTTCTGAGATGCTGAGTCCAGGTCCCTCCCTGACTCCGGGTCTCCAACTGAGCAGGAATTACTGCTTCAAAGGCAAGAAATGTCAATCAGGGAGGACAGATGTGAAAGGAGGTATTAATCAGAGACAGCAAAGGAGTTCTGGCATTCTCTAACAAAGCAAAGACATTGGCAGGGACACAGGTGCAACAGGAGAGGGGAGGGTGACAGAGAGTGAGCGAGTATACACGTGTGGACACAGTGCCCATTATGAGGAAGCGGAGGAAGCTCCCAAGGATTTGCTGAGGACTGAAGCCCACAGCTGCACAGCGCTAGTTTTTGGTTTAATCCAGCTTTACTCAGTTGACACAGAAAGATTTTATTGCTCTAGTTAAATACTACCTCTAAAGACACCAAGCTGACCTTAGTGTCCCTATCACTCAACAATAAAATAACCGTATGAAGAAGACAGACAGCTGAGCTTAGATGTTTAAAGATCCTCTCTTGTTCTCCTTTTCCCTGAATGAAACTGATACTGTATTCTTTTGAAATATATGTATTTTTAAAATGTATTTAAAAAAATAGATGCTCACATGTGGGTTTTTTTAAGTTGCTTTTTTTCTTCTCAACATTTTGCTTCCTCACATTCCTTTCTGTTCCTAGATTGTCAACTGAGAGAAGGTTCCCAGCTGTGTTTCTCACATGCCCAAGTGAGGTTTTGGAGTCAACCTAAGTGGGGCTAAAGCAGGGCAGGGATGGAGGGTGAGGGCTAGTGCCGCACGGTCAAGGGCCCATCCCCAAACTGGAGCCTCCCTGCAAACAAACGTTCAGTAGCCCACGAAATGGGAGGAAGAAGCCAGATAAATATTCTACAGAGACTTCATCAGGCAATGGCAACATTTCCCCACGCCCCAGATGCCCAGGTGCCAGCAATAACCTCAGCAACGTATCTTTAAAGAACAGCCCAGCTGAGGGTGACCCTTACCACACCAAGCAGCAAAGGATCGTGCGGAGTCCTGGGTTGTAGGCCTAGCTCCACCAACCTGGGAGTCAGCTGCTTCTCAGGAAACTGGACCAGGCCTGGCTTTCATCTGAATCCGACACAAAGGGTCATGCCAGCTCCTCCCCACAGGAGTCTTGAGATCAAAGCCATCATTTCCTGCACGTATAGCCTAGTAAGTCCAACTAATGATGACCCAGCCCCTCTGGAAGCTCTCCAAGTGCTGAATCTCAGAAATTTCTAGGGAGGCTGTGCACCTGTGTTTCTTTCTCTGATGATGCTTCAGTATCCCCTAAGGGCTACGTCAGCAGAACGCCATGCTGTTCTCCACAGCTGGCTTAGGTCTGATGCCTCAGGGAAAGGGATCATCCTACCTGTCCGTGGGTAAAGCCTAGCATGGGCTCCATCATGGCCACTCGCTTTCTGTACTGCAGCGCGTTGAGAGCACAGTAGTACTGAAGGGATGAAAGATGCTGTTTCCGCCGGGCAGCTGCCACCTCCTTTACAATTTCAGTCTTCACCTGGTTAAAAGGGGAAAGGAAAACAAACATCAAGTTGTCCAAAGCAAGTGGCAATTCTGTAAGAGCATGCAACTTCAAAACATGTTTGTTTATTCATTAGAACAATTTTTGTGACAAATAAAAAACAGATGAGATTCCACCTCAAGTTTTTAAAATTCCAAATTAAAAATACCAAATTAATGGCATCTCAGCGTTTGTGAGGCTGCACTGGGGTGAAGACAATACTTTCTGCTGGTAGCACTACAAAGAGCTACAATCCTTTAGGAAAACAATATGGCAGCGTGCATTCGAAGCCATAAATATTTTGGTTCACTCATAAGATTGTACTCCCAGGAAATCATGGAACAGAAGTAAAAGCTATATGCCTGAAAATATTCGATATTATCTATAGCAGCTAAAAAGCTAGAGAGCATGAGTTAAAAAATCAGAGTCAACATTCAGGGCAAGGAGTTCAAGTGCCCAAGTATATGTGAGTCAGATAACCATATGAGCTATCAAGCTTAAGTTAAAATCATTATGTGATTATCATTTTACAATGGTTCCAAGTTGACATTTAATAAACCAGTTTGAAAAAAGCTAGAACAGAGAAGAAGTCTACTTATGAGATTTGGAATAAATATTTTAAAAATCCAGGGACTTCCCTGGTGGCAGAGCGGTTAAGAATCTGCCTGCCAATGCAGGGGACACAGATTCGATCCCTGGTCCGGGAAGATCCCACATGCCACGGAGCAACTAAGCCCGTGTGCCACAACTACTGAGCCTGTGCCCCAGAGACCGCAAGCCACAACTACTGAGCCTGCGTGCTGCTATTACTGAAGCCTGTATGCCTAAAGCCCATACTCCACAAAAAGAGAAGCCACCACAATGAGAAGCCCATGCACCACAACCAAGAGTAGCCCCTGCTCGCCGCAACTAGAGAAAGCCCATGCGCAGCAACGAAGACCCAGCGCAACCAAAAATAAATAAATAAATATATTATTTTTTTAAATCCATGTACAGGAGAAAAAAAAGAATTCATCAGGACACCCTCAATGCCACAAATTCACAATAGGGAAACATAAAAGGAGCTTAAGTAAATGAAGTGAAAAATGGAAGGTAGGTATTCGTACCTTTTCATTCTCCTTTTTTTTAGGAAGCCTGCTATATTTTGCCATTGAGAGGTCATGCTCTAAAAATAAAGAGATATTTTAGCACCTAGATGGGCTGAAAGGCAAGAACATTCATTCAGCATCTCCTCCCACAGACATACTAAATTCACATACCAAGAACAGAGAAGATGCTTACCATTGCTGGCGAGTCCAAAAAGATCCTTTAAAGTGCTTACTTCTGAACAAGAGAAAAGAAACATCTTAAAGCAAAGAAAAATAAAATATGCTAACCTGGAGCTCTGTGCTTTCCCAAGAAAATAAAGGTATGTGCGTGGAAGGGGGAACCTCCGCCAGCACCCTCGTGTCCTGGTGCCTGGGGATGCTTGTTTTAATGAAAGAAATCTGAAGCAATCTAGTATACTGTACTTGCAACAAGCCAACACCAATAAATATTACTCCATGTGGGTGCCACACCCACCATGCACAAAGACGACTTAACAAAGTCTAAGACCAAAAAAACAAAAAGTTAGTGAGAGCAATGACTGTCCAAGGTTAAAAATTTTAAAACACAGAGATATTTAAAAGGAAGTGACACTTTCTACGATTCTAAAACAAACCATTTTTACTTTGTCAAACAGAGCAAAGCATTTTCACATCTACATTGTTTTTCGATCTGTCTCAAAACTGCCTCCAGCTTTTAAATTTCTCTTCACATTTTTCTTACTCTTTCTGATATGGGGCTGCTTTCTGCCTTTCTCTTCTTTAATTTTTCATTTCTTTCTCATCTTCTACTTCCTGATGGAGCAGTTTTAGAGTTTCTTCCTCATCGATTTTAAATAGCTTCCTAAATAACTCTTGTATCCTCTTCATTCAGATTATGTACTTAGATTATGTACTTAGATTATGTACTTAGATTATGTACTTAGATTATGTACTTATATTGGTGGGTAAATGAAAAAGGCAACAAAATGTAAAATAAAACACCACTCCCACTACTGGGCATATACCCTGAGAAAACCATAATTCAAAAAGAGTCTTGGGGCTTCCCTGGTGGCGCAATGGTTGGGAGTCCGCCTGCCGATGCGGGGGATGTGGGTTCGTGCCCCGGGTCCGGGAGGATCCCACATGCTGTGGAGCGGCTGGGCCCGTGAGCCATGGCCGCTGAGCCTGCGCTCCACAACGGGAGGGGCCACAGTGGTGAGAGGCCCACGTACAGCAAAAAAAACCCCCAAAAAACCCAAAAAGAGTCATGTACCACATGTTCACTGCAGCTCTATTTACAATAGCCAGGACATGGAAGCAACCTAAGTGTCCATCGACAGATGAATGGATAAAGAAGATGTGGTACATAAATACAATGGAATATTATTCAGCCATAAAAAGAAACGAAATTGTGTTATTTGTAGTGAGTCTGTCATACAGAGTGAAGTTAAGTCAGAAAGAGAAAAACAAATACCGTATGCTAACACATATATATGGAATCTTAAAAAAAAAAATGGTTCTGATGAACCTAGGGGCAGGCCAGGAATAGAGATGCAGACATAGAGAATGGACTTGAGGACACGGGGAGGGGGAAGGGTAAGCTGGGATGAAGTAAGAGAGTAGCACTGACATATATACACTACCAAATGTAAAATCGATAGCTAGTGGGAAGCAGCTGCATAACACAGGGAGATCAGTTTGGTGCTTTGTGACCATCTAGAGGGGTGGGATAGGGAGGGTGGGAGGGAGGGAGATGCAAGAGGGAGGAGATATGGGGATATATGTATATATACAGCTGATTCACTTTGTTATAAAGCAGAAACTAACACACCATTGTAAAGTAATTATACTCCAATAAAGATGTTAAAAAACAAAAGCAAAACAAACAAAAAAACACCACTAAGCAGAGGGGATGCCAGATTCTAATTTGGTTCTGATTCTGACTCAGGTATGACCCAAGCCAGATACTTAAAATTTCTGTCTTGGTGTCAGCAGAAAAGTATACCTTGATTAACTTTTTTCATAGACACTAAGAGCTTCTCCTTTTACTACTACTAGACAGTTTTATTTTCTTAAAAAAAAAATCATCATCCTGAGTAAATATTATTGATACTACTAATCCACAAGTTGAGCCCTTTTGGACTAACAAAGGCCACATCATAACACTACTGGGCATTCTCAATCCTAGGTTCCTATAAACAAACCTGAAAGACATCAATCTGACAACACAAGTCTTAGGGGGTAATTATTTTGTTTCTAAAAGACTTGGAGTTTGTTTTTTAAATGATATCCCCACATATTTCTAATGTTTTCATTTAGAGAAAATCTTTTTTAAAAATGCACTCAATGAGGCTTTCAGTTACTACTGGATAATCAGCACATGACCGCATTTAAGTTTGGGTTTTACATGCGATTACAGATGAGCAACACTAAAAAACACTAAAAACCCTGCTCAGTCAAGGTTTCTCTTTATACAAGCTGACATTATTTATTATTTTTTATTTATCAAGTGTTAGTGCTATCACTCTGCCCTTGGGTAGAGTTTATGCCAGTTCTGCTATTTCCCCCATAGGCTTCAGATGACATGATCACAGGGGATCTCAAAGTGAGGGGAAAAAAAGCTTCATATTTAAGATTTGGCCTTCCATTTACTGCATCTTTTCTGCCTAAAAAGAAAGTTTTAAACTTCCTGTTTTTAAACAGGAAGTACTATACTGAACAACAGATATTTCAGCACTCAAGTTTAGACTTTTTTGGTCTGCAATGTTTTATAATTGGTGTTCTAGAAAATACAATTCTTTATTCTCTATGCAATGAATATTTTCAATGAAATAAGAAAGGACAAAAGGACTAGAAAATCTGCATTCCCTTTTGTAATATCAACTAAGTTTTTTCAAGATTATTTATTTATTTTTAAAAATTTTTTTTTGCGGTACGCGGGCCTCTCACTGTTGTGGCCTCTCCCATTGTGGAGCATAGGATCTGGACGCGCAGGCTCAGCGGCCATGGCTCACGGGCCCAGCCGCCCCACAGCATGTGGGATCTTCCCGAACCAGGGCACGAACCCGTGTCCCCTGCATCGGCAGGTGGACTCTCAACCACTGCACCACCAGGGAAGCCCTTATTTATTCTTTATATTTAGTTTTTGACTACCTTGATTTCAAATGATATAAAATTATTCTAAAGTTTTATTTTAGTTGAAGAATCAAAATTAATCCAGAAGATCAACTAGGCTCTCTGAACTAGTCACAGATACTCCCACTCACTAAAATGGAGCTCCATCAGAACAGGGACCTTATCTACCTTGTTCACAGCTGTACCCCCAGAGTCTAGCACAGATAAAGCATGGTCCCCACTCTGTCCTTTCTTCTCCAAGCCTCCCACTTTACATTCCAAAGTGTTCATGGCTCCTCAAGAACAGCATGCCTTTACAAATGTCCCCTAACCTGTAATATAAGCCTGCCGTCTTTGTCTACTTGGTAAACATTTATTTATCAAAACCCAGCTCAGAGATCTTCTTCTTCTCTGGGAAGCCTTCCCTGGCACCTCATCCTCAAAGGGTAATCACGCCTTTCTGTGTGCCATTTCTATTCCTTGTACATCTCTGTCCTGCTGCCCTCATCACATAATATTACAATTGTCTGCTTCCAAGTCTGTTTTCTTATTGGCCTGTGACTTCCTTTAGGTGAGCCAAGAACATAGCAAAGATTTAATAAAAGCTGAAAAAGGGTATTTGTCAATGATCCACACAGTTAAAGAAATAACTGCAGTAAAAATTACTATTAAATGAATTAATATTCTTAAAGTATATGGCACTGAACTCAGTTACTTTACCTGTAAGATCCTTTTCTCGAAACTGTATAATTGGTAGAACCATTGTGTCTGCCAACTGTTTAGCCAGCTCTGTATGGAGAACATTAAGCTGAAAGAAAGAGAAATCTACTGAAGAAAATTATACCCACTATTACTGACACTGTCTTATTTCACTGAGGGATCACACTGAACACATCCATGTGGTTAAAGAGCTCAGTTACACTTCCTTAGCAAATAAATACCCTGCATAAAGCAGTAAATGACATAAGCTAAGAGGTATTAAAAACTAAATGCAAGTTTCTAGCTGACCGGGGCATCAGTTACGTTTGCTAAGAGTCTCCGAGCCCACAGTTATTGTTTGTGGACTGTGCAAGATGTGGCTCTGTGTTCTTGATGTGAGCCACACCCACCTAGACAGGGAGAGAGCTCTGGCGTGCTGGCAGCACAGGTCAGCACTTTGCCGGGCCCCTGTGTGCTCTCACTCTCAGAGGGGGCTGAAGTCACCCCTGAAAGACAGGCCTGCTGGGAACCTACTAACCTGCAACTACAGACACTGGGGCCCGGGAACTGCCGTGGAGAAAGAATGTTCCCCGCAGAAATAACTCAGCCAGGTTTCAGACCTTTCTAAGCACAAGAAAGCTGTATTCAAATGTGCTCCTCCTCACTAGATAATTTTAACAGCCCTTGATTCTTTCTCCCCTTCTACCTAAAGGCCTTAACTAAATCCTGTCTTTGTAAATCGTCTAGGAGAAATAAAAATGATCACGATCAGCACTACCACTTTTGAGCTCTTTCTGTGTGCCACTTTACGTGCTTTATACCACTTAGTTCCCACCTACTCTGTTAGATGGGTGTTATTTATTATCCTCATTTTTACAGGAGGGCAAATAAACCTCCAAATCCAGAGAGCAACTAAGTGACACACCTGGGATTTTAATCCTGGGCTACTGGGATCCAAAATCTATGCTCTTTCCAACACACCGTGTGGGATACAGAGTTTGTCTTTCATGCTCACACAGCTGCCACAACTTTAAACACGTGGTAGTCAGTAATGAACACAGTGGAAGGCCCAGACTTCCGGATATTGTGAGGGTGCTCTGGGATTCCTGCTGGGTATATAAGGGGAGGTCACCCAGCAGTCATCTTGTGGAGTAAACATGTGGCAAAGTTTTCTTTCAGCAGCGAGAGCAGTCACGTGTCCGAATTCCCCTTCTGCACACGGATCTCCCCGCAACAGATCTGGTCCTTCAGGGTTGTGCTTGCAGAGGCTGCTCTGACAAGCTTAAAGACTGGCTTCAGGTCAACCACCTGTCGGGCCAGGGAGTGACAGGCCAAGAAGTCAATGTTCTCCCTATCTTTCAATCAAGCCAAAGAATGGCAGCTTTTTCTGAGGGGAACACATGAAGACAGCCATGCCAAAACATGCATTAGGATATAATGTGT